CATATTCTTGGTTCTTTCGGTAAAGTCACGTAGAAGGGAAAACATTAAATATTGTTTTATTTATTTTATTATTTCCCTTCTACGTGACTTTACCGAAAGAACCAAGAATATTTATTGAGATGTTGTATTTGTGTTTGTGCCTTGTGATGGGTGAACGTTGAGATTTTATGAGGGGCATGCGGTGACCAATGAGGTCTGACTTGGCCCGCTGTAATAAGGTAGGGCGCTGACAATGGGTTACAGGTATGGGGTTGGGCTACGTACGTTGCTGCCGAAAGGATTTCAACGTACAGAGTGTTTGTCGCCTTGGGGATCGTCCATAAATGACGTCACGCGATTTTGGACGATTTTTGACCCCCCCCCTTCGTCACACGGCGTCACAAAAAGTCAGACCCCCCCCTCAAATATGACGTCACAAAGCTCTGCCCCCCCCAAAAAAAAATATAAAACATACTTCAAATCGCTTTAAACTATTGTATTGTAGTGCGTATTTAATGTGGCGCTGCACTCTGATATTGTAGGATAAAACATTTATTTAAAAGTATATTTAATTAAGTAGAGAACGTGTTGTCTATATTTATTTAAAGTTGCGCATTTTGATGCGACGTCACATTTCAACCCCCCCCCCTCCCCCCATCGTCACGCATCGTCACAAATGCCTGACCCCCCCCCCAGGTGCGTGACGTCATTTATGGACGGCCCCTTCCACAGACAGACAGAACGTTGAGGGGCGGACGCTGCTGTTAGCGAGCACCTATTACAGCCAACGCAGTGCATGCAAGTGGGTGCGCGGGTAGGTGGTCAGCACTGCAGCGCTGGTATCTGTTTAGGTATCCCCCGTGCCATTAACCTCGTCCAACCTGAATGACCGCACACACACACACGAATAAACCCCCCATAGGTCGCCACGGTGGCTAGGAGATGTTAACTACCTCGCTTAGTATGCAGGATGTCGTGGGTTCGATCCCGACCCTGACGCCTGCTGTACGTTTGGAGTTTGCGTGTCTCTCTGTTTCATCATCATCATCATCACGGTGGCTAGGAGATGTTAACTACCTCGCCTAGTATGAAGGATGTCGTGGGTTCGATCCCGACCCTGACGCCTGCTGTATCTTTGGAGTTTGCGTGTCTCTCTGTTTCATCATCATCATCACGGTGGCTAGGGATGTTCTGATATGCAGGGTGACGTGGGATCGATCCTGACCCTGACGCCTGCTCTATATTTGGAGTTTGTGTGTCTATCTGTCTCTCTCTCACCATCACAGTGGCTATGAGATGTTAACTACCTCGCCTGGTCTACAGGATGTCGTGGGTTCGATCCCGACCCTGACGTCTGCTGTATCTTTGGAGTTTGCGTGTCTCTCTCCCCGTGGTCGCGTGGATTTTTCTCCGGGTCCTCCGGTTTTCCCCTCCAAATTTAGAATCAACATCACCACGCGTTTCGAGTATTTCACTGCTGCTATTATATTTCCACACGATTCAATCTTAGGTCGACTCAGCCATAAAATTTTCGTTGAGCTGCTATAATTTCATAGCCAGGGTCGCTTCTGAAAAAACCCAGATACACAGTAGGTCACTAGGGCCTCACAACTGGTAAGCACAAAATAAACAACAGAGTAAATAGTACATTACATTTGGCGCGTACACTTAATGGTGTCGAAAGTCCAACTCTGAGAATTCGCACCTCATGTGACGAACGTGACTCTCGGTGACACGGGTGGGACATTGGAATTCGGACTATGCCGGGCTCATAGCAGCACGAGGTGCGGTGGTCCAGATGTCTTGTGACCCACCCCCATCCTCCTCCTCCTCTCCCCCCAATGTAAGTCTCTAAAACTCAATATTGTGAAGTTTATTTAAAACAGAAATTAATATTAAATAAAGGAACACAAATGTTAGGGGTCAAATAAATTAGGGGATGGGGGGGGGGGATGAGGAGCGGGGGTCACGAGACATCATTAGGGGCGCCGCGGTGGCTAGGAGATGTTAACTACCTCGCCTGGTCTACAGGAGGTCGTGGGTTCGATCACGAACCAAACGCCTGCTGCTGCTGTATATTTGGAGTCTGCATATCTCTCTTTCTCTGCCTATGGGCTCTTAGTGTATTTGGCTGCGATAACTTTCCACATTATGATAAGCCACTTCGCTTAGGCTAAAGAAATGAGTTTGTCAATCTACATGGTGATTTGAAAGTACATAGCTCCCAGTGGCTACCTAATATCGGAGGAGTGTTCCAGACGGACGCGTCATCAATATCACCACCATCAACGTCAACATACCCCAATTATTCATCATGCAGCTATCTCAACATCACCACCATCAACATCATCATCACCACCACCAACAAGTATGCATGTTGAACTTCTTTTGCATCGTACGTAGCAAACCGCGTTAATAGGAGGTGTGTGTGTGGCGGCGGGGGGGGGGGGGAACTAGCTAAATACAAGAAGAAGCAGTTCTAAATAAATGAGTTGTGATGAAACTCGGTCAAGTGTAGCCATATTCTTAGGTTTTTTCGGTAAAGTCACGTAGGTAAAAAATATAATAAAAGTAAATAAAACAAAATAAAAATCACGACGTTTCGGAAGCAACACAACGTCGTGATTTTTTATTTTATTTTATTTTACTTTTATTAATTAAAAACATTTTAACCTACGTGACGTTACCGAAAAACCTAAGAATATGAATCCTTGCAGTCACGAAAGCTTCAAATCTAGAATCAAGTGTAGCCAGTTGATGGGCTTAACCCGGTCACCAATGGCTCGTATAGAGATTCATAGACTCTCACAGAGACCCACAGACTCACACAGAGACCCACATACTCACACAGAGACCCACAGACTCACACAGAGACCCACATACTCACACAGAGACCCACATACTCTCACAGAGACCCACAGACTCACACAGAGACCCACGGATTCACACAGAGACCCACATACTCTCACAGAGACCCACAGACTACACAGAGACCCACAGACTCACACAGAGACCCACATACTCCTCACAGAGACCCACAGACTCCACAGAGACCACATACTCACACAGAGACCCACATACTCCCACAGAGACCCGTAGACTCACACAGAGACCCACAGACTCACACAGAGACCCACATACTCTCACAGAGACCCACAGACTCACACAGAGACCCATAGACTCACACAGAGACCCATAAACTCTCACAGAGACATCTAGTCTCACAGAGAGACCCACAGACCCACACAGAGACCCATAAACTCTCACAGAGGACCCATAGACCCACACAGAGACCGATAGATTCACATAGAGACCCCATTGCTTCACACAGACACCCATAGACTCACACTAATGACACAGATCCACACAGGGTCCCATAGACGCACACAGAGACCCATAGACCCACACAGAAACCCATAGACCCACACAGAGACCCATGGACTCGCACAGAGACACCATAGACCAGGGGTCGGGAACCTTTTTGACTGGGAGAGCCATAAAAGCCAATATTTCTAAATATATTTCATTGAGAGCCATATAGTATTTTTAACGTATAATAAATTAAATATGTCTTACTTTTAATGTGACTTCTGGTGCTGCATGGTTTTGCTGATGGCCTTGTAGTCTGGTTCATACGTGGTAAGGTTGAGCTTCATGCAGGCGTGACACGTGAAATTTATCTTCAAAACTAATTTCTGTTTACTTTAAAATGACACAGTATTATTAAGTAATATCACAAGTATTTTAAAATCAGTTCCAAACTGATTTTTTTTTTTATCATTTTTTCAACTCAAATTGTCTGGGAGCCATATGCCGTCACTGGAAGAGCCATATATGGCTCGCGAACCATAGGTTCCCGACCGCTGCCATAGACCCACACAGAGACCAATGGACTCACACAGAGACCCATAGACTCGCACAGAGACCCATAGACCCACACATAGACCCACACATGGTCCCATAGGTTCACACAGAGGACGCATAGACCCACACAGAGATCCATAGACCCACACAGAGATCCATGGACTCACACAGAGATCCATAGACCCACACAGAGATCCATGGACTCACACAGAGACCCATAGACTCACATAGAGACCCATAGATTCACACAGAGACCCATAGACTCACACAAAGACCCCGTGGACTCACACAAAGACCCACAGACCCACATAGATACACTGACTTGTGATTAAACTGCCTTCTCAGCCTTGAATAAAAAAAGCCCATTGAATAAAAATTCATTCTGCATTTTACTTGGCAAAATTTCAGCTCCGCGTTATTAAAAAGTGAACTGATTAATCGCCGGCCGATGATGAAGTCATCGTGAGTGATTGGAGCGCACGTGGCGAACAAACCACGTGGATAATTAACCACGTGGCCGCTCCGAATGTTATTGTTGTTGTCACGTGACGCAGAGCTGCACGTGCGCTCGAGCAGAGGGCGGATGTACGTCATATCCGGAGTCGTTGCTTGAGTTGCCATATAAGGGCATAGCCGCGACAGTGGGGGGGGAGGGGGTGGGAAGGGGGGGGGGGTTTGAGAGGTGGGGGTGGGCGAGAGATGTGAGGGAGGGGGCCGGAAACGGTCGAGGGGGAAAGTATATTTTGGTTTATTATATATTTATAATTATATAATTTTATTATATATTATTATGATTTTTATTTTTTGTTACTCTATATTATTATATTTATTAAATTGACCATTGGCCTACAAATAAAATTCAGCGTGTGAGGAGAGACCGGGGGGGGGGGCCGGAAGGGGGTGCGGGGGGAACCGATGTACTGGGGGGGAGGGGCCGGAAAAGGGTGCGGGGGCAACCGATGTACTGGGGGGGGAGGGGCCGGAAGAGGTACAGGGGGAACGATGATTATTGGGGGTGGGGGCCGGAAGAGCTCGAGGGGGGATGGTCTCGTGGGGCGAGCTGGTGGGGATGGGCGGGGCGCGGTGGTGGAGGGGGGGGTCCTTATCTCGCATCAGCAGTTCCGCAATATAAGCACCGCGTGCTCTCATTGCCACATTTGGCGTCCGTCACGCGACGTCGCCTTCCTCCTCCTCCGCTGCCGCCGCCTGCCGCGGCTGCTGCCGGGTTCGCCTCACGGCTGCTGCCGCTGTGCGCAGCGGCCATGTGGGGCTCGTTGCTGCTGCTGCTGCAGAGCCTCTCTGTCATCCCTCTCGCGGCCTCGGAGTTACAGAGGAGCCCTCCCGCGGCTGACGACGATGTCCGCGCAGGTTTGTTGTGACTTTCTGCGCGCGTAGTGGTGGTGGTGGTTGTTGATGGTGGTGGTAGTGGTTGTTGTGGTGGTGGTGGTGGTTGTTGGTGGTGGTTGTGGTGGTGGTGGTTGTTGTTGGTGGTGGAGGCTCGTGAAGGACGCTGCTGCTGAGCAGTTGGGAGGCAGTCGCCCCTCCAGCAACAGCGGAGGCGCTATGCTGCTCACAACAACGTGCGGAGCGCCGGGTGGCTAAAGCGCAGCACAGTAGGGGGCACAAGAGGTGCATCGGGCAGTCGTCTCGGTCAGTCGACCCGTGGCACCTGCTGGGTCTGACCCGTGGCACCTGCTGGATCTGACCCGTGGCACCTGCTGGGTCTGACCCGTGGCACCTGCCCCCTGGCACCTGCTGGATCTGACCCGTGGCAACCTGCTGGATCTGACCCGTGGCACCTGCTGGATCTGACCCGTGGCACCTGCTGGATCTGACCCGTGGCAACCTGCTGGATCTGACCCGTGGCACCTGCTGATCTGACCCGTGGCACCTGCTGGATCTGACCCGTGGCCCCTGCTGGATCTGACCCGTGGCACCTGCTGGATCTGACCCGTGGCACCTGCCGGGTCTGACCCGTGTGCACCTGCCGTGATCTGACCCGTGGCACCTGCTGGATCTGACCCGTGGCACCTGCTGGATCTGACCCGTGGCACCTGCTGGGTCTGACCCGTGGCACCTGCGGGTCTGACCCGTGGCACCTGCGGGATCTGACCCGTGGCACCTGCTGGTCTGACCCGTGGACCCTGCGTGTCTGACCCGTGGCACCTGCGGATCTGACCCGTGGCACCTGCTGGATCTGACCCGTGGCACCTGCTGGATCTGACCCGTGGCAACCTGCTGGATCTGACCCGTGGCACCTGCTGGATCTGACCCGTGGCACCTGCTGGATCTGACCCGTGGCACCTGCCGGGTCTGACCCGTGGCACCTGCTGGATCTGACCCGTGGCACCTGCTGGATCTGACCCGTGGCACCTGCTGGATCTGACCCGTGGCACCTGCTGGATCTGACCCGTGGCACCTGCTGGGTCTGACCCGTGGCACCTGCCGGGTCTGACCCGTGGCACCTGCCGGGTCTGACCCGTGGCACCTGCTGGATCTGACCCGTGGCACCTGCTGGGTCTGACCCGTGGCACCTGCTGGGTCTGACCCGTGGCACCTGCTGGGTCTGACCCGTGGCACCTGCTGGGTCTGACCCGTGGCACCTGCTGGGTCTGACCCGTGGCACCTGCTGGGTCTGACCCGTGGCACCTGCTGGATCTGACCCGTGGCACCTGCTGGGTCTGACCCGTGGCACCTGCCGGGTCTGACCCGTGGCCTACTGCCGGCGGGCGTTTGACACTTCGCGTGGCCTCGACGTGCACCTACCCTGGCACAGGCGTCGTGGTGACGTTACCGCCACTTGCGAATGGTGGTTGGAGTGGTGGTTGTTAGGAGTGGTGGTGGTCGGGGTGGTTGTGATTGGGGTGGTGGTAGCGACGCTAGCAACAACGAGCGGAGCGCCGGGTGGATAAATCACAGCAAGTTGGCACAGTAGGGGGCACAGGTGGTGCATCAGCCAGTCTTCTCGGTCATCTCAGTCAGTCGACCCGTGGCACCTGCTGGGTCTGCCTCGTGACCTCCTGCCAGAGGGCGTTCGACACTTCACGTGGCCTCAAGGTGCACATTGCCTGGCACAAACGTCGTGGTGACATCACCGCCACTTAGTGGCGAATGGCGGTTGTTGTTGGAGTTGTGGTTGGAGTGGTTGGTGGTGGTTGTGGTTGGAGTGGTGGTTGGAGTGGTGGTGGTGGTTGTGGTTGGAGTTGTGGTTGGAGTGGTGGTTGTGGTTGGAGTTGTGGTGGTTGTGGTTGGAGTGGTTGTGGTTGTTGTTGTGGTTGGAGTGGTGGTGGTGGTTGTGGTTGGAGTGGTGGTTGTGGTTGGAGTGGGTGGTGGTGGTGGTTGTGGTGGTTGTGGTTGGAGTGGGTGGTGGTGGTGGTTGTGGTGGTTGTGGTTGGAGTGGGTGGTGGTTGGAGTGGGTGGTGGTGGTTGTGGTTGGAGTGGGTGGTGGTTGGAGTGGGTGGTGGTGGTTGTGGTTGGAGTGGGTGGTGGTGGTTGTGGTGGTTGTGGTTGGAGTGGTTGTGGTTGGAGTGGGTGGTGGTGGTGGTTGTGGTTGGAGTGGTGGATGTGGTTGTGGTGGTTGTGGTGGTTGTGGTGGTGGTGTTCTCAATCGTCATCGGAATATTTATACTGCAGAAGGAATCCGATGAGCTCTAAAGCTCTTCGTTCACAGATGTTCAGTAAGAGGGGACATGGAGTAAGAACGTTATGACAACAATACACAATGCGCAGATTTGCAAAATGAAGATAAACGAGTCGCTTGAAAAAATACACGAATGAAACTAACCTCTTGGTGTATCTTAGCAGGCGAAGCCCACTGAAGTATTCGACTTTATTTGTTTCAGAAACCACCTGTCCATCACAAATGGTAACCTCGACAAAGTTGTGGCTTATCGTTGTCGTGGTGTGGACATATACCTGGTCAGCCCAAGGCCGTAGCCATGGAGTCAACATTGGGGGGGGGGGGCAAATCTTCCAGGGGGTCTGGGGTCCCCACCCCCAGAAAAAAATCTAAATTTAAAAACTCATTTCCTGCCTAAAATGTAAAAAAATGTACTAACACATGGGATGGACTTTTTATTTATTTAAAAAAATAATGTCTAATAGTGTGTTGTATTACATTGCTGTTTTTTCTTTTTGTTTTACCCTTTCTTGTTTCATTGTATGTAATGGCAGAGATTGGGGATTAATAAAGTATAACCACAATCATATCAACAGAAATCTATTTTATGGGGGGGGGGCATTTTGAGCATATTTGAATATTTTGGGGAATGTCTTTCCCCCCCCCCCCCCCCAATATATATAAAATAATTATGGCTTTGGGTCAACCCCTGATCAGTGCCTACCTTATTACAGACCAATTAATACCTTATTGGTCACTCCGTGCCCCTTATACATCTCAACGTTCATCTTACAAAGTCCCATCACGAGGGAGAAACACAAATAAATAATCTCAATAAATGTTCAAGTATTGAAACGGCTGTATGCCGTATGGACCTGAAAATTGAGTTTCCCTGAACAAGAATATGGGGTAAACCGTATGGGTTGACAAATATGAAATGTATAGCAGCAAAATAATCTTAAATTATATCAATGTCATGTTTATAAAATGAAGCTGCTGCTCCCTATTGTCTGAAGAGTTAACATTTGTCTAACAAGTAGCTTTCGCGACGAATTTAATAGTTTATCGACACTCATATTTACGCGATCCAACCCAAAAAACCTTGAGTTAACATTTGTTAGTGGTGGTGCTACTGGTTTGCCTGATACGCACATTCTGCACCTTGCCACTACCTGGTATAGAGCAACAGGAACGTAATAAGAGGTTTTTTCGGTAAAGGCACATAGGTAAAAAAAGATAAAATAAATAAAATCACGACGTTTCGGAAGCAACACAAGCAACCGTCATCAGTAATTTTGTTGGAGCAGTCAACACCTGAAAAAGAGTGTAGGACACATGTTTCGGATCATTATTTTCGCGGATGGGCTGGAAACTAAATTCGTTTAATGTTTGTACAGGGGTGTCAGAAATTGCATTAGCAGGGTTTGCCCCCAATGTATTATTATCAGAAAGGTCACCAGCTTCAGAAAAATGAAGGTTACAATTGTCAACTATTTTTTGGGGCTCTGAAAAATAGTCCCCCTTTTAGGTTAAGTGCAACTGGAAGATTATCTGTATTAGATGCCTTTGTAAATACATTTTACTGTTTTCCAGAAGATATCTGTGGGTCTCTGTGAATCTCCTGTGGGTTCATACTCTAGGTTTTTTCGGTAAAGTCGCGTAGGTAAAAAATAATAAAATTAAGATTAATAAAAGTAATAATAAAAATAAAATAATAAATCACGACGTTTCGGAGGCAACACAAGTCTCCGTCATCAGGTGGGACCGTCACAGCTAGATTTGCTGTATCAAGTGAGGCAAAGATTCCAAGATACAAGTTCTTAAATACAAGTTAAGGGGAGGAGGGAGGGAGGGAGGGGCTTATCTGAATGTGGTAGCCAATGAAGGGAACGTATTGGGAGGGGGGGCGGGGCTAGAAGAGAGTGAATGTGGAACTGTTGGACCTGTTGGTGCACATGCTAGAAGAGAACGAAAATGCCCATGTTGTTTTGCCCAGTGTTGGTTGACAATCAAATACAAAAAGGAGAGTACTGTTAAACGCTGGGGATGTTAACACTCGGTAAAGTAAAATAGTGCCTGTCAAATATGATGGTCCAAAAATGTGTAGTTAAATCTTTTTTGCATGGTTAATAACATCTTTCCAATGATTACTCAGTTTGTACCCATCATCACGGTTGAAATTATGTCTTCAAATCTAGAATCTCCTGTGGGTCGCTGTGAATCTCCTGTGGGTCTCTATCGGTTTACAATATGGTGCCATAATTTGAGTTGCATGGTGGCTATCACACTGTTGTGGCTTGTGTCTTTCATGCATCTGTGGGTCGACGTATTGCGATGGGTCTCTGTTTCGCGATGTGTCTCTGAATCTCCGTGGGTCTCTGGGTTTTACGATATGGTGCCATTAGGTTGTATGGCCATGATCTTACTGATGCGGCATGTCTTTATTGCATCTCTATGTATCTGTGTGTCTCCCTTGAGGTTTATTACATGGTCCATAGTGCGGATTGCATGGCCACAATGGCACTAGTCTGGCTGTCTTTAATGCATTTCTGTGGGTCGCCGTGTATCGCTATGGGTTTCTATGCATCTATGTGGGTCTATGGGTTTACTACATGATGCATGGCCACAATCTTTCATTTTCCAACCTGACCACTTGTGTGTGCCGTGTGTACGTAATGAGCTTCTTTCGCACCGAATATCGGCAGAGCCGGCCTCCTTTGCCTCCTTGACACGGGCCCGACTTCCCCGAAATGAACAAAAAAAATTGGTGGTTGTTGTTGTTGTTTTGAAATGGCGTTGTCCCCAGACGTGAGGATGGAGCTGCGTCTGGGAGTGAACCGCGTGGAGCGTCTCTCCGCCAACGAGACGCTGCTGCTGTCCCTGGAGGCGCTGCCCAACTCTGCGAGCTTCGTCACCTTCCAGGCACACAAGCGGGACGGCGGCGTTACCGTCGCCTTCTCCAGGGTAAACGGAATGTCCGCGGGGTAAACGGAATGTCCGCGGGGTAAATGGAACCGCCAACTTCGGGTTTGTTGGTATTCTCAAGTGGTTTTGCGGGTTTAAAACTAATTCTGAGAGGTGCCTGACCCTGGAGTTTAATAGTTATTCTTTATCTACCCTCCCCCGCCCCACCTACCCCCGGTTTCCCTCCCCTGTGATCCCCCACCGCCCTCCCCCTACATAGGGCTGGCTCGGTTTCCCGGTTTGCGCGCGAGCCGCGTGACATGGGCTGTGGTATCGGGGGGCTCGCATTCTGTAAACGGCAACAACAAAAATAAAAAAACGGCCTCCGCTAAGGAGGAGCCTCTGCTCTTCCACAAGCGGAAACCGACGTCCTGGAAGCTGTGGGAGCAGACCCACACTTTGCTCCACCCACAACATGACTCTGATTCCCCTCCCGTGTAGCCTGTAACAGACTGTTGGGGCAAGTGCTTTCAGCGAGTAGCAATATCCAGTGAAGGCTGCAACGGCACACGAGGGGGTGGGTGGGTGGGCCAGCACCACGCTCGCCCGCTTTTGTCTCCCCGGTGGCGATTTTACACGACACACCGTACTAAGGTAATCATTTGAGGCCGAGTCGACCTAGGGGAGGCCCAGGTCCGGTTAAGGTAATTGTAGCCGGTGTTGGCTGCGAAAGCCGGAATCGAACCTCGGGTCACCAGATTCGAAGAGGCACGTGCTAACCGCTACACTACCGCTCCCCACACTGATGCGGCACTTGTGCCAGGCCATGTGCACCTTGAGGCCACGTGAAGTGGCCTCAAGGGGGAGGGTGGCGTTTGTGCAGGCTACATGACCCAGCCAACGCAGCCTTGCCTGCCGGAGGAGCTCTACGATGTCCAGATCTTTCAAGGATCTGTGCGCTCCTCGCACAATCCAGCCTGCAGGTTAAACCCAGGATGGATCGTAGGAAGCCCAGCCTAAATGTTTCTAATCGGCGAAGATGTACAATTAGGGGGGTCCACGTTTTGCAAGCGTAGAGAATGGTTCGAATGACTGTGGCCGAGAAGACCTGAAGCTTTGTGCGGAGCGAAAGACAAGATAGCTTCCACACAGCGTTACGCAACCGATGAAAAGATAATGCTGCTCGACTTATTGGAGTGAGACCTCTGCTGTCAAACTGGAGCAGGTCATGAGCACACTGCCCAGGTATGGGGAAATTCTCCACTCCATAACTGCCCCATCACCAATTGGGAGTTGTGGGGGTGGAGTGTGATGGTACAAAATACCCAGGCAGGTGCTTAGTTTTGGTGGGGCTGATGGTAAGGCCCCACTTCTTGGTGGCAAGCTCCAGGTTCAGCAGCAGCACCTCCAACTCCTTTGTGTGAGCAGCAATTACCAGATCATCGGCATAGATAATATGGTTGACCAATAAGTTGCCATCCCTTGACCGGGCATCGATCAGCCTCCCATTGTATCTGTACCAGATGGAAATTCCTCCGGTACAGCTATTGAAGGCTTCACGAACTACGTGGTCAAAATAGATGTTAAATCATGTGGGAGCCAGAGAACATCCCTGTCGCACCCCAAGGTGAACAGGGAATGGCTCCGACTCCCGGCCACGTAGTTTAACTCAGGCCCGCTCACCATCATAAAGGTCGTTAATGATCGTGAGCAGAGTCAGGGACTCAAAGCATAAAAAACAACCCAGAGTCCAGGCCTACTCATGGTATCATTGTCCTTGACCAGGTCAATAAATTAGAGATGTAGGTCTTGTTGGAATTCCCGACACCTCTGCTGTAGCAGACGGACAGAAAATATGGCATCTTTGCAGGACCGCCCTTTCCTGAAACCACGTTGGGTTTCCGCAAGCCTCTCCTCAGCGTGCCTAGCAAGGTGATTGTTGAATGTCCTTGCAAGGATTATTTCCCGGCACTGAGTAGTGAGATGCCCCTGTAGTTGTTACAGTCTGTGCGGTCCCCCTTCTTAAAGAGTGGGACCACCAGGGCATCCTACCAATCCTGCAGAACCCGTCCAGTGGTCCAGACTGTTGTTATGATGTCATATAGGGCAGTCTGTGCACAAACGCCACCCTCCCTCAGCATTTTGTTTGGGAGATCATCTCTTCCCAGTGCCATTCCTGGTCTCATGACTCTGGATCGCCTTCAGTACTTCCTCAACAGATGGCACCTCAGCCAGCCACTCACAGGGGGTCACTTCTTCCAATAGTTGAGGCACCGCAGCCTCAGCAGGGTTATCCCCACTTTGTCCCATGATGTTTTCCTGGCTGAGGGATTTCCCCTCCCCCAGGACCTCACAGAAATGCTCAGCAAATCTTCAAACCTGTTCCTGGGGGTCAGAGATTGTGCGATTTAATGCAGTAATTTAATTTTTTGATTTGGCGTTTGAACGTCTTAACATCTCCTGTTTTATTGCCAGGAAAGGGTAAAAACCTAATAATATTTTTTTCATACTTTGATACTGGCAAAAAAAGGTCCCATGTTGTGTACCTGCTGATCGGGATGTAAGATTTTCGGTGTGCGCGTGTGGAATAATAATGTGTGTGTGTCAGGCCCTCAGGAGAGGAAACTCGTACACTGGCACGGACGCAGGGCTGCTGTTTTCACTTCATCCCCGGGACAGCCGACTGCTGTGGTACATGTACACGGGGGCCCAAGCCAACGCCACAGCCAGCCTTCTGGCGCTGGCCTATTCAGCCAGTGGTGAGGATCATGTGCACGCACACACACACGGCGTGTGTGGCTAAGCACAGCGCGTGTGTGTCGTGTGTGTGTCGTGTGTGTGTCGTGTGTGTGTCGTGTGTGTGTCGTGTGTGTGTCGTGTGTGTGTCGTGTGTGTCGTGTGTGTGTCGTGTGTGTGTCGTGTGTGTGTATGTAGTGTGTGTATGTAGTGGGGAGCGGTGGTGCAGCGGTTAGCGCGCCGCGCTACGAACCCGGTGACCCGAGTTCGATTCTCGCTCGCGGCCACCAACGCCAGTAACGATTATTTGAACCGGCTCTGGGCCTCCTTTAGGTCGACTCGGCCTCAAATGAGTACCTGGTGCGTTGTGTAAACATCGCCACGCGGGAGACAACGGCGGGTGGGTGTGGTGCTGGCCACCTGCCCCCTCGTGTGCCGTGCCGGCCTTCGTAGGTAGCTGCTCGCTAGCAGCACTTGCCCCTACAGTCTGTTAAGGCTACACGGGGGATGTTTGTCTTTTGTCTTTGTATGTTGAACTTTCTTCGCACGGTACGTAGCCGACCGTGCTCATCGGAGATGCTAGGGAAGGACCACAAGCTAAACACAAAAATCGGCTTACCCTTGCATGGTAAGATTTGAAAAAAAAAACGTTTAAATGCTTATGTTTCAATAGTGTGTGTGTGTTTATTTTAATTGTGATTTTTAAATGTTTTTTTTTTGTGGTCCGTGTTATAATGGTAGGTTAAATCGCAGTTCGTCTGTGTTTTCGCCAGTGGCTCCCGCGGTGCCCTACGCAACTGCTTTGCTCTGCACACTGCACACTGCTATAATACACAATACCTCACTACACTACACTACCATACACTCCACTTCTGGCTGGCCATCCAACAAACAGTCGCCACATCGCGCGGCGCTTTCAGATCGCGCTGCTTCTGCGGCCGTCTGCAACGCTCCTGCCTTCCCATATTAGGAAGCCCCCTGGATCTGTGCACGGCGATGGTGATTACGCTGAGAGACAGAGCGGCACGTCGATTAGAGAACGCACACAGGGTAGAGACATCGCCATCGCCATCGCCACCGCATTGCTCTTCCTCCAGCAGTAGATGGAACAAAGGCGGTGGTTACCACACCGCACGCCTACAGATGTGCTGCTTCTGCGGCCGTCTGGAATGTGCTTCCCTTTCGATAATATTGGGACGCCGCTGCGAGCCGTGCTGCTGCACAAAGAAATCGTCGTTTCAATTGACAAACTCGTTTCTTGACATTCTTGACAACGACTTGTTGCTTATGCCCGCCAGCCGCCCCCGCAGTGGCGGGGCCGTGTCAACGTTTTGAATATATTTGCAGCTGATGGGATTGGCAATGGAACTCTGGGGCAGTTGTTAATTGTTGTAGTAGTAGTAGTGGTATTGATAGTAAGAGTTCACATCCAGTTACGACTTGATACATCCGATCCACGTTTTTCCAGCACTCTCTCCGCTCCCCTCCACTCTCTCCGCTCCACTCGTTCCTGTCCGCTCCCCTCCACTCCTCGAGCAGACCCTGTGCCGGGCGGCTGTAACCTGGAGTACGACATGGAGGTGGACCCCAACCTCCGTCTGAGCTACAACCTCTACGAGACGGTGCTGGAATTTGCTCCGGCCAACCTCGGTTACCCACGGTCAGTCATCCCTTCTCCCCACCCAACTACACCATTTACATACTTTACACAATAATCATATACTATACACTACACCATTTATACTGGTAGGAATCTCCGGGTACTCTAGGTTACAGCCGCTGTGTGTACGTGTGTGTACGTCGGAATAGCCTGCCGGCGTGCGCCTGCTTCTCTGCCTCGTCCGCAGGGGTTCTGCGCCACCAGCCTGCGACCAGGACACGGGCCCCGACTCTCGCTGGCGCCTGCAGTACGACGTCTACCAGACCTTCCTCGACGAGGGCGACCTGGGGGTGGACTCCCTCCTGAGCGCCCTGCGCCGCTTGTCCACCGCCGGCGGCTGCGAGGCGTACGGCTCCAAGGTACGTATGGAAAGTCCTTGTTTGTGTGTGTGTGTGTGTAAGGGGGAAGTCCTCGTGTGTGTGTGTAAGGGGGGAGCGGTGGGGTAGCAGTTGGCGCGCTGCGCTACGAACCTGACCACCCGAGTTCGATTCCCGCTCAAGGTCCAACGTCGGTGACGATTAGCTGAACCGGTCTTGGGCCTCCCCTAGGTCGACTCGGCCTCCAAAGAGCACCTGGTGAGGTGTGTAATACTGGTAGGAACGAAGTGGACCAGCCACCAATAGATTATTTCGTCCGTCCGTCCGTCCGTGTAGCAACATCGCCCCCTACTGCAAACACTTGGCATGACCCTACAAAAACCTTTAGACTCGGTGACGCTTTCCTGGCTAAACAAGTGTAACATTCCCTTATAATTCCCTCAGATAGCTTTTAATTAAAACTTTGAAATTAAAAAATAACTCCCAGCGCCCTAAAGCCTACAGCTAGGCCTAAAGCCTCGAACTACGCCTATCACTCTCCCTTCGTATCGTACCCCCGCGTGTGTGCAAGGGAGTTAATGTTTAACAATGTTACATTCCCTGATGCTTTTAAATAGAAACATTTAAATTTAAAGCTTTTACTTAAATTATAAAAACATTTAATTTTAAAATTAACTCACGGCGGCCTAAAGCCTACAGCTAGGCCTAAAGCCTAGAACTAGGCCTTAACCTCTCCCTTCGTATCGTACCCCCGCGTGTGTGAAAGGGAGTTAATGTTTTACAATGTTACATTCCCTGATGTTTTTAAATAGAAACATTTACATTTTAAAGCTTTTACATAAATAATTAAAACATTTAAATTACAAATTAACTCACAGCGGCCTAACGCCTACAGCTAGGCCTAAAGCCTAGAAGTAGGCCTCACACTCCCTTCATATCGTCCGATTCGGTGTAGCAACATCGCCCCCTACTGCAAACACTTGGCAGAACCCTACAAAAACCTTTAGACTCAGTGGGGCTTTCCTGGCTAAACAAGTGTAATAATACATTATGTTTATATTCTTTGGTTATTCGTTCCTACCAGCCCACCCCGCAGGGTCCTGTTAAACATCGCCACTGGGGAGAAAGACGGCTGGGCATGGTGCTGGCCACCCACTTCCCCCTCGTGTGCTGTTCTGGCCTTCATAGGTGTTGCTCGCTAACAGCACTTGCCCCAACAGTGTTTTTAAAGGCTATATGGGGGATCTTTGTCTTTGTGTTGTACGAGCCCGACGGATTGTATCGGTGCGTGTACGAATGCATATGCGTTAGTACAGGTGCTGCTACTCCCTATTGGCACTTGCCCCAACAGTTTGTTAAGGCTACACGGGGGGATTTGTGTATTTTGAAATGTGCCGCTAGTAGTAGTAGTAGTTGTATAGGCAGAGCTGTCAAGCCATACGGTTTGCCCGTATTCTTGTGCAGGGAAATGGAGTTTTCGGGTCCATACGGCGTACAGTCGTCTCAATACGGACAACGATGAAGAATTCTGTTTGTTTTGTCCCTTGTGATGGCACTTTGTAGGATGAACGTTGAGATTGATAATATTGTCCATAAATAGAGGGTTTGTTGTGGGTTGGAGATCGCGTAAATATGCACTGGTTTGTCTTCAAACCCGCCACCACAACCACCCAACACGCAGCCGATTTTAGTGAAGGTTTGTCACGTGAACAATGTGACGGTTTAGTTACGAGTTGAGCACTTACCAAGGGGTGTGTGTGTGTAGTGTGTGTGTAGTGTGTGCGTAGTGTGTGCGTAGTGTGTGCGTAGTGTGTGCGTAGTGTGTGCGTAGTGGGGAGCGGTCGTGCAGCGTTGAGCGCTACGCTGCACTATGAACTGATCGAGTTCGATTCCCGCTCATGGCCAACGCCAGGTGACGATTTTGATCTGAACCGGTCATGGGCCTCCCCTAGGTCAACTCAGCCTCCCAAATGAGTATCTGGTGCGGTGTGCAGTAACCATCGCCACTGGGGAGACAAAGGCGGCCGGGCGTGGTGCTGGCCACCCACCCCCTTGTGTGCAGTGCCGGCCTTCACAGGTGCTGCCGATTTCGGAACGCACGCGTGATGCCTAGTAGTAGTAGTATTGGCGTCGCTGTTTATTTTTTATTTTTAAGACGTGCACTCGTACACCGCAGGGGACGTTGGCGGAACGACCGACGCCAGTCTAAGATAGCCGGCGCCAAAAACTGTGCCACGCGAAAGGCACCGCACGCACGCAAGGCCTTGCGGGAGGATTGATACCGATTTATAAAAGTTACTTTATTTTGAGCTTTTCCCTTGCGGTTTCGTTCCAATGACGTGTGTGTACGTCATCGGAACAGGAAAGTATTGACATCCTTCTGTATTATTACTGGAAAGAGGGTATGGTGTAAAGCGTTTATATGTTTTTCAATTGAATGGCTGATGGATATCCCCTACTCCTCCAGCCTTGACTGGGAACTATTTTCGACCTTTTCCCCTTTTTTGGGGGAGTGAGAGTCGTCGATCCTCTAGATCTCTGGACCCCCCCCCCCTCTCTGTCTCTATCTGTCTCAGTCTCGGTCTCTGGATCACTCGGTCTCTCTCTCCCTCGATCTCGCGCAAGCCGGTCGCGTCTGCCGAGTTGTCCCTCGTTACTTTCCACCACCCTGCCGTGCCCATGCCGGGTCCTTGGGAGCTCCGCTCTCTTGGTGCCCCCCCAGCCGGCCGGAGGACCTTGAAGATGCCGCCGCCGCCGCCTCGTGTTTGCGCCTCTTCCCCGGGGCGCCGTGGTGATTCGCCGAGACAGGAGGTCTATTCGTGGTGATGAATGGCTTCCCTTTGTGGTGGTCCGTCCCAGTTGCCGCGTTGCGGCGAGCACTTTGCGTGCCGCTTGTAAAACCCCTGCGAGCGCACGCAATGCAGACGAAGATCCCCCGTGTAGCCTTAACAGACTGTTGGGGCAAGTGCTGTTAGCGAGCACCTACACACACACAGATACAAAGACAAAGATCCCTGTGTAGCCTGAACAGACTGTCGGTGCAAGCGCTGTTAGCGAGCACCTAACGAAGGACGGAATTGGGTGGCTAGCAACAGGCCCGGCCGCCTTTGTCTCCCCAGTGGCCATGCTGTTACGCACCGCACCAGGTACTCATTTGAGGCCGAGACGACCTAGGGGAGGCCCCAAGGATCGGTTCCGATAATCGTCACGTGATGTTGGCCGTGAGTGGGAATCGAACTCTGCATCGCCAGGTTCGTGGCGTGGCGTACTAACCGCTACAGCTCCGCTCCCCCTTGCACACGCGGACGGACACGCGTCTGATTGTTTGTGCGAGAAGCTCATTGAAATGGTTTTTATATTTGAAGCAACTGGAATACAATTTGCCCCTCATTCGCCACCCCCCCACCCCCAAGGGAACGCGTACAAGTTTCTATTTTGATGGGGGTGTGTGTGGCACAGTGGTTGGCACCCTGTACGATAAAATTATATATATATTTAATTTTAAACCCAGCATGTGACATTCGTCGATTTTTATTTATTTATATTAATCTGCGGGTTGCATGGCGTGGCAGAGTTTAATCACGCTTGACGCCCCCCCCGGGGATCTGCGGCGCTTTCAGATCCGCTGCTCCTGGCGGCCGTCTGGAACGCTCTTCCCTTCTGATATTAGCAAGCCACTGGGAACGGTGCACTTCCAAATAATCGTCATCATCGACATCGGCAAACTCAAATAATCATTACGGCTTTTCGTGTTTAGTTGTCCTTCCGATTTAGCACAGTTGGCTACGTACTGTGCGAAAGAAGTTCCACACACCTACAGCTCTGAGTCTCCCCTTGTGAGTCCACGGGTCACTCGGTCACCGCTGGCGAGGCCAGGACCCACTGGCGTGGCACGAGAACCTCCGTACGTATTGACAGCGGTGTGACCGTCAAATTCTCAATGCCGCCCCCCCCCCCCCCCAACCTTCCACTGTGTGTGTGTTTTGACCCAGAGCGTCATCTTGGTAAAAGGATCTTCCCCAGAAGCGCTTCTGTTAATGTCCACTTTTATCTGTGGGCTGTTCTCCCAAGATGGAAGTTTTGTTTTTATTCCCCCCCCCCCAACCAACCCCATCTCAACCTCCCCAGAGGAGGTTCTGAAATCGCTTCCACGACCTTTTCCCCGTTCCCTCCCTCCACCCCCCAGATGCGGACGCTGAGCTCGTCGGAGAAGCCACGCCTGGTGCAGACGTCGTACCCGGGCCAGGGCGTGGCGTACTGCGTGGTGGTGCGCGATCCCCGGCGCAACACCAGCGCCGCCTACGTGCCCGCCGCCACCTACGCCTGCAGCTTCGCGGCGCGCAGCGACGGCTGCTACCACCTCGGTGCGTCTCCATCGCCGTCGCCGTGGCCGTTGCCGTTATTCCCGTGACGTCGTCATCGTCGTGGTCGTCCTCGTGAACCACCATCGGCGCTGTCGCCGCTCGCCGCCGTTGCCGTGGTCTCTCGCTCCCCGCCTGCAGCCCCTGGCTGGCTCGGCCTCGGTGTGTTTACGTTGAAATTCTTCGGCACCGTACGTTGCCAGGCCGTGCTCAACTCCACTAAGCTCGACTCTTTTTAAGTTCGCTTGCTTGCTTGCGCGCTTACGACCGTGCAAATCTTTAGGTCGTGTTTTAACCCACTTCCCGTGATCCAATCGAGCTGACATTTTGCACACAGACTCGTTGTGCGTGACAATTAATGTTCGTGAAATTTTTTTTCCAAAATTTTACACTTTTTAGGAAAAAAAAAATTATATTTAATTACCAATTGCTTAATGGTGGCAGGCAATCATCTGACCCATAGGTGGCAGCCATCTCAAACCAGAGGACGAGAGGACTCTAGCCGCCACGCATATAAAGGATTTATAGTGAAAAACTTTGTTTTTACGGGTTAATTTTTTCATGTTACATTTGGCAGCTGCCAAATTAATCATTTGGTGTAGGCGCTACTTTGTGTCGACTTCTTTTCCCTTTCGTACGGATTCATAGCAGCAGGATAAAGATGGAGTTATCCACTCGATTGTCTGATCGGACGCAGGGTGGGGATCTCGTCCGTTTTGAAGGCGGCAGCGGCGGCAGCGGCTTGTTTACGACGCGGCGCTCGATTTTTGGTTTGGGATTGGTGGCCATGCCGATCGCTCGGCCACCGAGTCATCTTTGATGCGCCACTTCTGGAGTCGGGTGGTCGCATCGCCGCATGGCCCGGTCCCGATTCGGTTGGTGGTCGACCATCGGCGTTTGTTGGTTATTGGCGTTGGGCCCCCCCCCCCCACCTCGACCTCCTCCTCCCGTTCCCCTCTTCAAACTCCCCTCATCACCGTTGCCCAGTCTCTTCCTCCGAACCGTGCCTCTCCACACCGTCCCGCGCCCCGACCCCCCTTTTACACCCTTGCGTGACGACTACTTGGCACGGGCAAATACGCACCGGTGCCACGTTCCACGTGACGTACGTACAGACGTCCGAGCCGTCGCTGGCCACCCAGCCCCTCCCTCGAGTGCCACCCAGCCCCTCCTTCGCGTGCCACCTAGCCCCTCCCTCGAGTGCCACCCAGCCCCTCCCTCGTGAGCCACCCAGCCCCTCCCTCGTGTGCCACCCAGCCCCTCCCTCGAGTGCCACCCAGCCCCTCCCTCGAGTGCCACCCAGCCCCTCCCTCGTGAGCCACCCAGCCCCTCCCTCGTGTGCCACCCAGCCCCTCCCTCGAGTGCCACCCAGCCCCTCCCTCGCGTGCCACCCAGCCCCTCCCTCGCGTGCCACCCAGCCCCTCCCTCGCGTGCCACCCAGCCCCTCCTTCGCGTGCCACCCAGCCCCTCCCTCGTGAGCCACCCAGCCCCTCCCTCGTGTGCCACCCAGCCCCTCCCTCGTGTGCCACCCAGCCCCTCCCTCGTGTGCCACCCAGCCCCTCCCTCGTGTGCCACCCAGCCCCTCCCTCGAGTGCCACCCAGCCCCTCCCTCGGGTGCCACCCAGCCCCTCCCTCGTGTGCCACCCAGCCCCTCCCTCGGGTGCCACCCAGCCCCTCCCTCGTGTGCCACCCAGCCCCTCCCTCGAGTGCCACCCAGCCCCTCCCTCGGGTGCCACCCAGCCCCTCCCTCGTGTGCCACCCAGCCCCTCCCTCGAGTGCCACCCAGCCCCTCCCTCGGGTGCCACCCAGCCCCTCCCTCGTGAGCCACCCAGCCCCTCCCTCGGGTGCCACCCAGCCCCTCCCTCGTGAGCCACCCAGCCCCTCCCTCGTGAGCCACCCAGCCCCTCCCTCGTGAGCCACCCAGCCCCTCCCTCGTGAGCCACCCAGCCCCTCCCTCGGGTGCCACCCAGCCCCTCCCTCGGGTGCCACCCAGCCCCTCCCTCGGGTGCCACCCAGCCCCTCCCTCGGGTGCCACCCAGCCCCTCCCTCGTGAGCCACCCAGCCTCTCCCTCGGGTGCCACCCAGCCCCTCCCTCGTGAGCCACCCAGCCCCTCCCTCGAGTGCCACCCAGCCCCTCCCTCGAGTGCCACCCAGCCCCTCCCTCGAGTCCCACCCAGCCCCTCCCTCGTGAGCCACCCAGCCCCTCCCTCGCGTGCCACCCAGCCCCTCCCTCGCGTGCCACCCAGCCCCTCCCTCGAGTCCCACCCAGCCCCTCCCTCGCGTGCCACCCAGCCCCTCCCTCGCGTGCCACCCAGCCCCTCCCTCGAGTCCCACCCAGCCCCTCCCTCGCGTGCCACCCAGCCCCTCCCTCGAGTCCCACCCAGCCCTTCCCTCGCGTGCCACCCAGCCCCTCCCTCGCGTGCCACCCAGCCCCTCCCTCGAGTCCCACCCAGCCCCTCCCTCGCGTGCCACCCAGCCCCTCCCTCGCGTGCCACCCAGCCCCTCCCTCGAGTGCCACCCAGCCCCTCCCTCGCGTGCCACCCAGCCCCTCCCTCGCGTGCCACCCAGCCCCTCCCTCGCGTGCCACCCAGCCCCTCCCTCGCGTGCCACCCAGCCCCTCCCTCGCGTGCCACCCAGCCCCTCCCTCGAGTGCCACCCAGCCCCTCCCTCGAGTCCCACCCAGCCCCTCCCTCGCGTGCCACCCAGCCCCTCCCTCGAGTGCCACCCAGCCCCTCCCTCGCGTGCCACCCAGCCCCTCCCTCGAGTCCCACCCAGCCCCTCCCTCGCGTGCCACCCAGCCCCTCCCTCGCGTGCCACCCAGCCCCTCCCTCGAGTGCCACCCAGCCCCTCCCTCGCGTGCCACCCAGCCCCTCCCTCGCGTGCCACCCAGCCCCTCCCTCGCGTGCCACCCAGCCCCTCCCTCGCGTGCCACCCAGCCCCTCCCTCGCGTGCCACCCAGCCCCTCCCTCGAGTCCCACCCAGCCCCTCCCTCGCGTGCCACCCAGCCCCTCCCTCGAGTCCCACCCAGCCCCTCCCTCGCGTGCCACCCAGCCCCTCCCTCGAGTGCCACCCAGCCCCTCCCTCGTGTGCCACCCAGCCCCTCCCTCGCGTGCCACCCAGCCCCTCCCTCGAGTGCCGCAGCGTCGGCCATGGGAGGTGCCGATGTGGGGCAGCGGTCGCGGTAGTAGCGCTACGAACCCGGCGGCCTCTGAGGTTCAATTTTCCGGCTCGCGGTCGACACCGGTGATTATCTGAACTGGTCGGTGTGTAAAAACATCGCCAATGGGGGAGACAAAGGTGGTCGGGCGCGGTGGTTCTGGCCACACCACTCCCTCGTGTACCGTTCCGGCCTTCACAGGTGCTCGCTAACAGCACTTGCCCCTACAGTCTGTTAAGGCTACACGGGGGATCTTTGCCTATTTATAACGGGGAGCGGTAGTGCAGCTACGTACCCGGCTACGATGCGAGTGCGAATCCCGCTCACGGCCACCAACACCACCAGTGACAGTTTATCCGAACCGGTCCTGGGCCTCCCCTAGGTTGACTCGGCCTTAAACGACTGCCTGTTGGCGGTGTGTAGTAAACATCGCCACTGGGGGAGACAAAGGCGGTCGGGCGTGGTGGTGCTGGCCACCCAAACCCCTCGTGTGCCTTGCCGGCCTTCATAAGATGCTGCTACCCGCTAACAGCACTTGCCCCAACAGTCTGTTGAAGGCTACACGGGGGACCTTTGTCTCTGTGTGTTGCAGGCAAGACTTATTACAAGGTCCTCATGGTACTGGCCGGCCTCGTGGGACTCTTCATGTGTTTCTTCGGACATCGCTTCTTCAAAACGCGTAAGTCCCCTTTCTCCACGTGGGGCCAGGCTCTCTGGCTAAGGTTGGTGGTGTCCTCGGTGTAGTGGGCCGACTGGCGATGGGTGGTGCACGCGTGGACCTACGTTGAACTTCCATCGCCACGTACGTAGCCAGCCGTGCTAATCGGAGGTGCGGGGAGCAAGACGAGCTAAACACAAAGGGCAGTTCTAAAGCTCCGAGTTTAAAGTTTAGATTTCAAGGTGCCACAGAAGCACATCCGAAAGTGCGCGATGTGGTGGCCACCATTTTTATTGGATGACCAGCCACAAGCTGCTGCTGCTGCTGCCGCTGCTGCTGCTGCTGCTGCTGCTGCCGCTGCCGCTGCCGCTGCTGCTGCTGCTGCTGCCGCTGCCGCTGCTGCTGCTGCTGCCGCCGCTGCCGCTACTGCTGCTGCTGCCGCCGCTGCTGCTGCCGCTGCTGCTGCCGCTGCTGCTGCCGCTGCTGCTGCCGCCGCTGCCGCCGCCGCTGCCGCTGCCGCTGCCGCTGCCGCTGCCGCTGCCGCTGCCGCTGCTGCTGCTGCGAGGATAACCAGAGTCCACGTCAGGGTGGTTTAACGCTCCTTGCCGATGAGATCAGCAGCGATGTGTCGCTCGGTTCATTTGTGGCCTAGGATGGTGTGCACACGCTGCAGCTTGCTAATGTTTTTTTTTTGGCAGACGTCCCGTAGAGTAGCGAGTTGCTGCTGTGGCTAGGCGATGTGATCTCCCTTGCCTGGTATGCAGAAAGTCGTGTGGGTTTGATCACAACGCGTGGCCAGAGAATGTTGTCTACACGCTGCAGCTTGCTAATGTTTTTTTTTTCCAGACGTCCCGTAGAGTAGCGAGTTGCAATAATCGAGCTGTTTGTTGTTGTTGCTGCTGCAGAGGTGTTCCTGGACGGTTTCTTGGTGGGCTGCCTTGCGGTGTACGTGGTGGTGACGCGCGTCACCGTGCACACGGCCATCCACACAAGCATCCACACCACGGCAGAGCTCGGCGACGATGGTGAGGCGCGCGTGTGTGCGTGTGTGTGTGGACGTGTGTGTGGACGTGTGTGCGCGTGTGGGCGCTGTCGTGTGTGTGTGTGTGAGCGCTGTCGTGTGTGTGTGTGTGTGGGCGCTGTCGTGTGTGTGTGGACGTGTGTGCGTGTCGACGCTGTCGTGTGTGTGTGTGTGGCCGTGCGCTGGCGTACGGTGACGTGGCTTCCCCGTCCCCAGCGTGTGTGTGTGTGTGTGGACGTGGACGTACATGTGTGTGGACATACGTGTGTGGACATACGTGTGTGTGGACGTGTGTGTGTGTGTGGACGTGTGTGTGTGTGCGTGTGTGTGTGGACGTGTGTGCGTGTGTGTGTGTGCGTGTGTGCGTGTGCGTGGGGACGTGTGTGTGGGCGCTGTCGTGTGTGTGGACGTGTGTGTGGACGTGTGTGTGTGTGTGGCCGTGCACTGGCGTACGTTGACGGTGCCGCTGGCTTGCCCCCCGCCCCCAGCGCGTGTGGCCATCGCGTGCTCTGCGGGAGTGGTGTGCGGGCTGCTGCTGCTGGCGCTGTGGTGGCGTCTGGGCTTGTGCACCGTGTGCATCCTCGCCAGCGGCACGCTGCTCGGCTTCCTGCTCACCTCCGCCGCATTCTTCTCGCCACTCGGTGAGGGCACCGACTCCACCACCAACCTCATCGTCCACCACGCACCGACTCCACCACCAACCTCGTCCACCACGCACCGACACCACCAACCTCATCGTCCACCACCACCAACCTCGTCCACCACGCACCGACTCCACCACCAACCTCATCCACCACGCACCGACTCCACCACCAACCTCGTCGTCCCCACACCGACTCCACCACCAACCTCGTCGTCCCCACACCGACTCCACCACCAACCTCGTCCACCACACACCGACTCCACCACCAACCTCATCAACTACACACCGACTCCACCAGCAGTTTTTTGTGGTGTAATAGGTGGTAGGTGTCATCATGATGGTGCCAATGTTGGTTGCGGTGATGTGAGATCTGGTAATTGTGGTCGGTGGTTATGACATGGCAAATGGTGGTCGTTGTGATGATGGTGGTGGTTGTCATAAGGATCTGGTGGTGGTGGTGAAGTAATATTTTGGTGGTGGTAGTGGTGGTGGTGAAGTAATATTTTGGTGGTGGTAGTGGTGGTGGTGAAGTAATATTTTGGTGGTGGTAGTGGTGGTGGTGAAGTTATATTTTGGTGGTGGTAGTGGTGGTGGTGAAGTTATATTTTGGTGGTGGTAGGGGGCTTCCTCTGCTGCTAGAAGACTGGATCTTGCGACCACCGTCTCGACTGAAGTCCCCTTCCAAGAGAATGTGGGGGGGGGGGGGGGGGGGGGGTAAACCATGGAGCGCTTTGCCCCCCCTGACCCCCCCCCCTCTCTCCTTGCAGGCGATCTCCGGCTCTTCCAAAGTGACGTCAACTTCTGGATGTGCTTCTCCTGCGGCACGCTCTTCGTGCCCATCATGCTGCTGCTGTGCCCCTTCGTGGTAAGAGATCCACACACTCGCTCCCCCTCGATCACAATCCGCGTGGGGGAGAGGGCGCGTGGGGGGGGGCGCGTGGGGGGGGGCGCGTGGGGGGGGGCGCGTGGGGGGGGGGCGCGTGGGGGGGGGCACGTGTGGGAGACAAGCCGTGACACTTTTTTGCTGATTGGCCGTGTCGGGTGGTGGAGGGTTACGACACATTTATAAGTAACGCGATCCGATCCAAAAACGTTTATTATGAATAATATTGGTCGCTGAAAGCCTGCTACGTGTTAGTCTGCTTAAATACCCACCCAGATCTAATGACTGCTGGTCTTACCACAGTGAGCCTTAATTGTAGTGGGGCACACGGTGACCAGCGGCGGATGCAAGCGCTTTGATCTTCGAAGGAACAAAGTGGATGTTGTCCAGTGACCCAGAAACGAATCCCGACGACTCCCTGAGATGCCAAGTGGGGTAGAGTCTCTCTCTCTCGGCGGTGGCGGCGGCCAGGGCTTCCTCGCCCACCCCGACCATCGCTCTGCCAGAGAGGCAGTTCTGTTTGGAGCACGGCGCAGGCCAGAGAGCTGCTGCCGCCTTAAGGAGATTGTGAAGAGGTCTCTGAGCTTCGGTTGATTTTTATTTTTTTGTCTTTGGTGAAGAACACCAAATGCCGAGTTTATGAATGGTGTACGCACCGAGGCAAAAGCCCGGCCAGGAAACTGTTCTTAACAACGACACTTTGGCATTGTTTTAGTGCAGACAACGCGCGCACAAACTCTCTGGGTTTTTCGGTAAAGTCACGTTGGTATGAAATAAATTAAAACAACTAAATTTAGTTCATTTATTTTATTTTATTTTTTTATAAATGAAAACAACTAAATCTAGTTTTCATTTTATTTTCTACCCTACGTCACTTTCCCGAAAAAACCCAAGAGTATGAATCCTTGCAGTCACGAAAGCTTCAAATCTCGAATTGACGCGCGTACAATTGTAGGGGGACGTTTTAACGGCACCCTAAGCCCCAAACCAAGACCGAAACTCCACCCAGAGTCGGCTGGGCCATGAGCCGATCTGGTGAGGAGGATGGACCTTGTGGAGGTGCGGCGTCTGCAGCATCGACCACAAGGGCAACACCTGCGGTGTCGCTGTGCCCAAGGGCAAAACTTGGCGGTCTACGGAGCGAGGAAGCGGAGATTGGAAGGCGATGGGCACGGCTGGGCCTCGTAAAAGCACGGCTAAAGCTTGAGCATGCGTACTACCGTCACACCGGCGGGGGGGGGGGGGGGGGGGTGAGTTTTTAAATAAATGGGGGGGGGGGGGGTGCTCGGGACGCCCTGTGCACAATTGTAAATAATTCGCTTGGCTACGCGTTTTTAATTCCCCCCCCCCATCTCTCAGATGATGGCCGCTCACGCGTGACGTGAACACCTTTTAGTTGCCGTGGACGTGTCCACTGTCACTGGTTGTTGGCATTGACGCTTCGTAGAAACAATAAAACCAAAAATATTTTAAAGGTTAAAGTCCAGGGGCTCTGTTTGGGATCTCGGCTCTCTCTCTCTGGGCTCTCTCTGGGCTTTCTCTGGGCTCTCTCTGGGCTCTCTCTGGGCTCTCTCGGGGTTCGCTCCCTCTCCTCTGCCTGTACGCCGGATTCACGACCAACCACGTGCCACCGTGTTTGTGCCCCCCCCCCCCCCCGTGCCGGCGCGTAGCTGAGCGTGGTGGCGTGCGCCGTGCTGGGCGGCTACGCCGTGGTGCTGGCGAGCGCCGTCTTTGTGCGCTCCTCGCTGCCCTACCTGCTGCTCAACACGGTGCGCCGCGCTGCCCTCAAGGACTACACGCGGGCCTACAACGCGGCGCCCTTCCAGACCAACGGTGAGGCCACCGCCTCCACCGGCCAGAGGGGGGGGGGTGGACACGACGTTGGCTTCCACGCGGCGGTTATCGTTGCACCGCCGTATTCTGAAAGGACTCGGGTCTCCTGTGACGTGGCTAGCTACGTGCTTGCCCCCCCCCCCCCAGACTATGTGCTTTCCCCCCCCCCCCCAGACTACTTGCTTGCCCCCCCCCCAGAGTACGTGCTTGCCGCCCCCCCCAGACTACGTGCTTGCCGCCCCCCCCCAGACTACGTGCTTGCCGCCCCCCCCCAGACTACGTGCTTGCCGCCCCCCCCCAGAGTACGTGCTTGCCGCCCCCCCCCAGACTACGTGCTTGCCGCCCCCCCCCCAGACTACGTGCTTGCCGCCCCCCCCCAGACTACGTGCTTGCCGCCCCCCCCCAGACTACGTGCTTGCCGCCCCCCCCCCAGACTACGTGCTTGCCGCCCCCCCCCAGACTACGTGCTTGCCGCCCCCCCCCAGACTACGTGCTTGCCCCCCCCCCCAGACTACGTGCTTGCCGCCCCCCCCCCCCCCCCCCCCCCGCCCCAGACTACGTGCTGGCGTGCGTGTGGACCGCCCTGGCCCTGGCCGGCACGCTGTTCCAGGCGCACCGCGGCTGGAGCCTGCCAACCTTCCCGCCGTGCCCCTACGAGGAGTGGCTCTACCACACGGAGCGGCGCGCCACCAACGTGCTGGACCCCAGCCACCACCGGCCCGGCGCCCGCGAGCGGGCCTGTGCCGCGCTGGCGGCCGCCTGCGCCGCGCTGCGCCGGCCCGGCAAGCGGCGGGATGACGACGACGACGACGATGAAGGTGGTGGTGGTGGTGGTGGTTGTGGTGGTGGTGATTGCGGGGCGGGGGGTGACTACGACGGGCGGCTGGGAAGGGAGCAGCGTGGTGGTGATGAGCGTACCCCTCTTCTCATCAACAAATAATGATGATCGGGGAGGTCGTGGTACCCCCACCGTCTCTGCTGGTGGGATGAGATTTTGGTTGTCACTGGTGTGCTCAAGTCGCGTGCGAGGTCTACGTTGTGTGTTGTGTTGTGCGAGGGTGAGTGTGTGGGGTGGTTGGCATCGTATGGAGCACATTGTGGCGCATCGGCCAGTCATCTCTGACGAGTCCAACCATGGCACCTGGGTCTGTCCCGTCACCTCCTGCGTGCGACATTTCACGTGGCCTTAACGTGCGCAGCCTGGCACGGACGCCTTGGTGATGTCGGTGCCACTTAGTGGCGAGCGGCGGTTGTTATTGTGAAGTGTGTGACGGTTGAGGTGTCGTCGCGGTTAGTGCCGCTGCGCTACGAACCCGGCGGCCCGAGTTAGATTCCCGCTCCCGGCCAACACCGGTGACGATTATCTGAACCGATTCCTGGGCCTCCCCTAGGTCGGCTCTGCCTCAAATGAGTACCTGGCGCGACGTGTAAACATCGCCACTGGGGAGACAAAGGCGGCCGGGTGTGGTGCTGGCCACCCACCCCCCTCCTCGTGTGCCACAGCACCGGCCTTCGTCGGTGCCACTACGCGCTATAACAAGCACTTGCCCCCGCCCTTGTTAAGGCTACACGGGGGATCTTTGACGTGTGCACAGCACCACCAGTGGCTGCTGCCTCCATTATTCAAGTTTACAATCGCTGGACTTTCCCTTTCGGGGGGGTGGGGGGGGGCTGTAAGTTTCAACAGAAGGTGGTTGGGCTCTGTGTGTGGGGGGGGTGTCATCACGGTGGCGAGGCGACGTTGACTACCTCGCCTGACATGCAGGAGGTCGTGGGTTCGATCCCGACCCTGACGCCCGCTGCTGTGTATTTGGAGTTTGCGTGTCCTCCCCTTGGTCACGTGGATTAATTTTTTCCCCCTTGGGGCTTTCCGATTTTTTTTCCCCTCCCACAGTTAGCATCAACATCGCCACGCCTTTAAGAATATTTGGCTGCTGCTATAAATTTCCACGTGATGATGATTCCGCTTCATTTGTGATGTCAGGTGGTTGCTTCTGAAAAAAGAGGCTGCATCGGTCGGTGGGGCCTTACCTGGTGAAATGGTTTAAGTAGTTGGCGCACGAAAGTTTTTTATTTTATTTAACTTTTTTTTTGCCCCCGGGCACTGCACGCCACTGCCAACCGGTGGAAGGAAAATCATCCCCAGGTCTGGACCTCCTCTAGGTCAACTCGGCCGTAAAATCAGTTCCCTCCCCCCGGCTGCAGCGTGGATAAAACCTCTTCACCGGCGAGACCAGGTGTGGTGGTGGTGGTGGTCACCATGCCCCGGCACGAGCGAGCGGATCTGGCGTTGATGGGCGCTGCCCGCCAACAGCACTTGCCCCAGCGGTCTGTGGAGGCCGTCCGCGGGATCTTTGTCTCCTGCGAGTGCCTGCGATGGGTGAAGGGTGCTCGCTCACGGAAACTTGGCCCCGACAGTGGCTGTGGTGGCTACGTGGGGGGGGGGGAGAAGGTTTTGTCACCGTGTGTGGTGTGTTCAGTTCTGCACGTGGACATTTGTGATGCCGCACGTGCTCGGGTGTATATTATCAATGTGTGTGTGCGTGTGTTATTGTCCGCGTGGCTTAAGCACAGCGAGTTGTCACCGTAGGGGGCACAGGTGGTGCATCGGGCATTCATGTCGGTCAGTCGACCCGTGGCACCTGCTGGGTCTGCCCCGTGACCCTGCCAGCGAGCGTTCGACACTTCACGTGGCCTGGCACAAGTGACGTCACCGCCACTTAGTGGCGAACGGCGGTCGTTGTTACTGTCCACGATTTTTTGCTGGTGATGTTGATGATGAAGTGTCGAGCTCCGAAGCGACGCGATTGGATTTCTTGGTGCCCAAGTGGGGATTGTCTTGTTCACGGATGCAGGTCACGACTGGGATGGCGTCTGGGTTGCCAGGGACGGACAGACGCTGCCATTGTAACGGAGAGCGCTGTTTTTGTTTATCTGTGCAGCCGCTGCTGAGAAGGTGGGGACAGGTTTTGGTAAAACTTATTTTGTGTTGTGTATACATTGAGAGAGAAAAAAAGTTATAATACTAATGATGTAATAATAATAAAAATATTTTGCTCCATTTCAAATGTAATGTGCGTCCATCATCTCTAGCCAGGGTTCGATACCCTGACCAGGGCTCACTTTTTGCGTGGAGTTTGTATAATCTCCCCCTGTTCTACAGAGTGAGTGGAGTTTGTATGATCTCCCCCTGTTCTACTGAGTGAGTGGAGTTTGTATGGTCTCCCCCTGTTCTACTGAGTGAGTGGAGTTTGTATGATCTCCCCTTGTTCTACAGAGTGAGTGAGTGGAGTTTGTATGATCTCCCCCTGTTCTACTGAGTGAGTGGAGTTTGTATGATCTCCCCCTGTTCTACTGAGTGAGGAGAGTTTATATGACCTCCCCCTGTACTACAGAGTTTGTAGAGTTTGTATGATCTCCCCCTGTTCTACAGAGTGAGTGAGTGGAGTTTGTATGATCTCCCCCTGTTCTACAGAGTGAGTGGAGTTTGTATGATCTCCCCCTGTTCTACAGAGTGAGTGAATGGTATGATCTCCCCCTGTTCTACAGAGTGAGTGAGTGTAGTTTGTGTGATCTCCCCCTGTTCTACAGAGTGAGTGTAGTTTGTGTGATCTCCCCCTGTTCTACAGAGTGAGTGTAGTTTGTGTGATCTCCCCCTGTTCTACAGAGTGAGTGAGTGTAGTTTGTGTGAGCTCCCCCTGTTCTACAGAGTGAGTGAGTGTAGTTTGTGTGATCTCCCCCTGTTCTACAGAGTGAGTGGAGTTTGTATGATCTCCCCCTGTTCTACAGAGTGAGTGGAGTTTGTATGATCTCCCCCTGTTCTACAGAGTGAGTGAGTGTAGTTTGTGTGATCTCCCCCTGTTCTACAGAGTGAGTGGAGTTTGTGTGATCTCCCCCTGTTCTACAGAGTGAGTGAGTGTAGTTTGTGTGATCTCCCCCTGTTCTACAGAGTGAGTGAGTGTAGTTTGTATGATCTCCCCCTGTTCTACAGAGTGAGTGGAGTTTGTATGATCTCCCCCTGTTTACAGAGTGAGTGGAGTTTGTATGATCTCCCCCTGTTCTACAGAGCGAGTGCGTGGAGTTTGTATTATCTCCCCCTGTTCTACAGAGTGAGTGGAGTTCTTATGATCCATAATTAAAAACAAAAAATGTTACCAAGTCAGGCTCCACTTGGCTATACAGCTCTTTCAAAAGCGGACCTGGCTTTCTCAAATGATGGCTCAACGAAGTGGACTAATCATCATTTATCGTCACGTGACACTTCATAGCAGTAGCTAAATGTGCTCGAGACGCGTGATGTTGATGCTAAATGTGGATGGGGGGAAAACCGGAGGACCCGGAGGAAAATCCACGGGGAGAGATGAGAGGCACGCAAACTCCAAATATACAGCAGCAGGCATCGTCAGGGTCTGGCTTGGACTGCACGACCTCCTGCATACCAGGCGAGGTAGTTAACATCTCCTAGCCACCGTGATGATGAGAGAGACACACAAACTCTAAATATACAGCATCAGGCATCGGGGTCTGGATCGAACCCACGATCTCCTGTATACCAGGCGAGGTAGTTAACATCTAGCCACCGTGATGATGATAAGAGAGACACGCAAACTCCAAACATACAGCAGCAGGCATCGTCAGGGTCTGGCTTGGACTGCACGACCTCCTGTACACCAGGCGAGGTAGTCAACATCTCCTAGCCACCGTGATGATGATGAGAAACACGCAAACTCCAAATACACAGCAGCAGGCATCGTCAGAGTCTGGCTTTGACTGCACGACCTCCTGCACACCAGGCGAGGTAGTTAACATCTCCTAGCCACTGATGATGAGAGAGAGACATGCAAACTCCAAATACACAGCAGCAGGCATCGTCAGAGTCTGGCTTTGAATGCACGACCTCCTGCACACCAGGCGAGGTAGTCAACATCGCCAAGCCACCGTGATCCTACAGGGGCCACACCCACCGCAGGACACGGGGCAATGACCTCTCGACCTGCACCCCACCGGCCCCTCTCCAGCGCCCCCCCCCCCGTCTCTAGATCAGAGGGAGCCGCGGGGGGAGTCGCCCTGCCGCTGGTTGGGGGGGGGGCAACAATCGGCTACTTCCCGAGGCTGTCGACCCGTCCAGGCCGCGGCGTTGCTGTTCTTTTTAAATCCTTCATATTAAGTTCACTTGCTTGCGCGCTTACGACCGTGCAAATATTTCGGTCGTTTTTTAACCCACTTCCCGTGATCCAATCGAGCTGACATTTTGCACACAGACTCGTTGTGCGTGACAATTTCTTTTCGTGAAATTTTTTTTCCTAAATTTTACACTGTTTAGGGAAACAAATTAAATATTTAATTACAAATTGCTTAATGGTGGCAGGCAATCATCTGACCCATAGGTGGCAGCCATCTCAAGCCAGAGGACGAGAGGACTCTAGCCGCCCGTTTCAAAGACCAATGTGGGCTGGGTTGTGGCCCATTGAACACGCATATAAAGGATTTATAGTGAAAAACTTTGTTTTTCACTATAAATTTTTTTATGTTTATGACACGCTTATATTTAACTCACACTCCGTCTGTTGTGTCCTCAAAAAAGAAATCTTGTGACTCAATTTTTACCCACTTCCCAATGTGCTATCGACTGCAAACTTCGTATAGGTTTGTCATACTGATGACAACACGATATTCTATCATAAAAAAATCCAAAACATATATTTTAAACATTTTACACGATTTTATTTAACTCACTCTGTCTGTTGTCGTATCCTCAAATCTTGTAACTCAATTTCAACCGTCTTCCCAATGTCGTATCGACTGCAAACTTGGTATAGGTATGTCATACTTATGACAACACGATATTCTATCTTTTCTCCGGCTCTAATTGTCCACGTTTACGGCTCTAATTGTCGACGCTCAACTCACGTTGCCTGTAAATCACCACGTGGTCCCTGGCGGAGGTGAGGGTGGAGGTGGTGGAGGTGAGGGTGGAGGTGAGGGTGGACGCGGTGTGGAGGCGAGGGTGGATGCGGTGAGGGTGGACGCGGTGAGGGTGGAAGTGAGGGTGGAGGTGAGGGTGGAGGTGGTGAGGGTGGAGGTGGTGAGGGTGGAGGTGGTGAGGGAGGTGAGGGTGGAGGTGAGGGTGGACGCAGTGTGGAGGCGAGGGTGGATGCGGTGAGGGTGGACGCGGTGAGGGTGGTGGTGAGGGTGGAGGTGGTGAGGGTGGAGGTGGTGAGGGTGGAGGTGGTGAGGGAGGAGGTGAAGGTGGAGGTGGTGAGGGTGGAGGTGGTGAGGGTGGAGGTGGTGAGGGTGGAGGTGGTGAGGGTGGAGGTGGTGAGGGTGGAGGTGGTGAGGGTGGAGGTGGTGAGGGTGGAGGTGGTGAGGGTGGAGGTGGTGAGGGTGGAGGTGGTGAGGGTGGAGGTGGTGAGGGTGGAGGTGGTGAGGGTGGAGGTGGTGAGGGTGGAGGTGAGGGTGGAGGAGGTGAGGGTGGAGGTGGTGAGGGTGGAGGTGGTGAGGGTGGAGGTGGTGAGGGTGGAGGTGGTGAGGGTGGAGGTGGTGAGGGTGGAGGTGGTGAGGGTGGAGGTGGTGAGGGTGGAGGTGGTGAGGGTGGAGGTGGTGAGGGTGGAGGAGGTGAGGGTGGAGGAGGTGAGGGTGGAGGTGAGGGTGGAGGTGAGGTGGAGGTGAGGGTGGAGGTGAGGGTGGAGGTGAGGGTGGAGGTGAGGGTGGAGGTGAGGGTGGAGGAGGTGAGGGTGGACGCGGTGAGGGTGGAGGCGGTGAGGGTGGAGGAGGTGAGGGTGGACGCGGTGAGGGTGGAGGCGGTGAGGGTGGAGGAGGTGAGGGTGGAGGAGGGGAGGGTGGAGGTGGTGAGGGTGGAGGTGGTGAGGGTGGAGGTGCGGGTGGAGGTGGTGAGGGTGGAGGTGGTGAGGGTGGAGGTGGTGAGGGTGGAGGTGGTGAGGGTGGAGGTGGTGAGGGTGGAGGAGGTGAGGGTGGAGGTGCGGGTGGAGGTGGTGAGGGTGGAGGTGCGGGTGGAGGTGGTGAGGGTGGAGGTGGTGAGGGTGGAGGTGGTGAGGGTGGAGGAGGTGAGGGTGGAGGAGGTGAGGGTGGAGGTGGTGAGGGTGGAGGAGGTGAGGGTGGAGGAGGTGAGGGTGGAGTGAGGGTGGAGGTGAGGGTGGAGGAGGTGAGGGTGGAGGTGGGTGAGGGTGGAGGTGAGGGTGGAGGTGAGGGTGGAGGTGAGGGTGGAGGGGAGGGTGGAGGTGAGGGTGGACGCGGTGAGGGTGGAGGCGGTGAGGGTGGAGGAGGTGAGGGTGGAGGTGGTGAGAGTGGAGGTGGTGAGGGTGGAGGAGGTGAGGGTGGAGGTGGTGAGAGTGGAGGTGGTGAGGGTGGAGGAGGTGAGGGTGGAGGTGAGGGTGGAGGTGAGGGTGGAGGAGGTGAGGGTGGAGGTGGTGAGGGTGGAGGTGGTGAGGGTGGAGGTGGTGAGAGTGGAGGTGGTGAGGGTGAAGGTGGTGAGGGTGGAGGTGGTGAGAGTGGAGGTGGTGAGAGTGGAGGTGGTGAGGGTGGAGGTGGTGAGGGTGGAGGTGGTGAGGGTGAAGGTGGTGAGAGTGGAGGTGGTGAGAGTGGAGGAGGTGAGAGTGGAGGTGGTGAGAGTGGAGGTGGTGAGGGTGAAGGTGGTGAGGGTGGAGGTGGTGGAGAGTGGAGGTGGTGAGGGTGGAGGTGGTGAGAGTGGAGGAGGTGAGAGTGGAGGTGGTGAGAGTGGAGGTGGTGAGGGTGGAGGTGGTGAGAGTGGAGGTGGTGAGGGTGGTGAGAGTGGAGGTGGTGAGGGTGAAGGTGGTGGGAGTGGAGGTGGTGAGAGTGGAGGTGGTGAGGGTGGAGGTGGTGAGGGTGGAGGTGGTGAGGGTGGAGGTGGTGAGGGTGGAGGTGGTGAGGGTGAAGGTGGTGAGAGTGGAGGTGGTGAGGGTGGAGGTGGTGAGGGTGGAGGTGGTGAGAGTGGAGGTGGTGAGAGTGGAGGTGGTGAGAGTGGAGGTGGTGAGGGTGGAGGTGGTGAGGGTGGAGGTGGTGAGGGTGAAGGTGGTGAGGGTGGAGGTGGTGAGGGTGGAGGAGGTGAGGGTGGAGGTGGTGAGGGTGGAGGTGGTGAGGGTGGAGGTGGTGAGGGTGGAGGTGGTGAGGGTGGAGGAGGTGAGAGTGGAGGTGGTGAGGGTGGAGGAGGTGAGGGTGGAGGTGGTGAGAGTGGAGGTGGTGAGGGTGGAGGTGGTGAGGGTGGAGGTGGTGAGAGTGGAGGTGGTGAGAGTGGAGGTGGTGAGGGTGGAGGTGGTGAGGGTGGAGGTGGTGAGGGTGAAGGTGGTGAGGGTGGAGGAGGTGAGGGTGGAGGTGGTGAGAGTGGAGGTGGTGAGGGTGGAGGAGGTGAGGGTGGAGGTGAGGGTGGAGGTGAGGGTAGAGGAGGTGAGGGTGGAGGTGGTGAGGGTGGAGGTGGTGAGGGTGGAGGTGGTGAGAGTGGAGGTGGTGAGGGTGAAGGTGGTGAGGGTGGAGGTGGTGAGAGTGGAGGTGGTGAGAGTGGAGGTGGTGAGAGTGGAGGTGGTGAGGGTGGAGGTGGTGAGGGTGGAGGTGGTGAGAGTGGAGGTGGTGAGAGTGGAGGTGGTGAGGGTGGAGGTGGTGAGGGTGAAGGTGGTGAGGGTGGAGGTGGTGAGAGTGGAGGTGGTGAGGGTGGAGGTGGTGAGAGTGGAGGAGGTGAGAGTGGAGGTGGTGAGAGTGGAGGTGGTGAGGGTGGAGGTGGTGAGAGTGGAGGTGGTGAGGGTGGTGAGAGTGGAGGTGGTGAGGGTGAAGGTGGTGAGAGTGGAGGTGGTGAGAGTGGAGGTGGTGAGGGTGGAGGTGGTGAGGGTGGAGGTGGTGAGGGTGGAGGTGGTGAGGGTGGAGGTGGTGAGGGTGGAGGTGGTGAGAGTGGAGGTGGTGAGAGTGGAGGTGGTGAGAGTGGAGGTGGTGAGGGTGGAGGTGGTGAGGGTGGAGGTGGTGAGAGTGGAGGTGGTGAGAGTGGAGGTGGTGAGAGTGGAGGTGGTGAGGGTGGAGGTGGTGAGGGTGGAGGTGGTGAGGGTGAAGGTGGTGAGGGTGGAGGTGGTGAGGGTGGAGGAGGTGAGGGTGGAGGTGGTGAGGGTGGAGGTGGTGAGGGTGGAGGTGGTGAGGGTGGAGGTGGTGAGGGTGGAGGAGGTGAGAGTGGAGGTGGTGAGGGTGGAGGTGAGGGTGGAGGTGGTGAGAGTGGAGGTGGTGAGGGTGGAGGTGGTGAGGGTGGAGGTGGTGAGAGTGGAGGTGGTGAGAGTGGAGGTGGTGAGGGTGGAGGTGGTGAGGGTGGAGGTGGTGAGGGTGAAGGTGGTGAGGGTGGAGGTGGTGAGGGTGGAGGAGGTGAGGGTGGAGGTGGTGAGGGTGGAGGTGGTGAGGGTGGAGGTGGTGAGGGTGGAGGTGGTGAGGGTGGAGGAGGTGAGAGTGGAGGTGGTGAGGGTGGAGGAGGTGAGGGTGGAGGTCGTGAGGGTGGAGGTGGTGAGGGTGGAGGTGGTGAGGGTGGAGGTGGTGAGAGTGGAGGTGGTGAGAGTGGAGGTGGTGAGGGTGGAGGAGGTGAGAGTGGAGGTGGTGAGGGTGGAGGTGGTGAGGGTGGAGGAGGTGAGGGTGGAGGTGAGGGTGGAGGAGGTGAGGGTGGAGGTGAGGGTGGAGGTGGTGAGGGTGGTGAGGGTGGAGGTGGTGAGAGTGGAGGTGGTGAGGGTGGAGGCCGTGAGGGTGGAGGAGGTGAGGGTGGAGGCCGTGAGGGTGGAGGAGGAGGCAGAGACAACTTCCTGTGACTGTCGGAGGTGGTGACGCTGCACGTCCCGGCCCCGGTGCAGTTCACCAAGAAGCTGCCAGGTCGAGTTCCTCACCCCCCCCCCCTAACCCACCCCTCCCTCGAGGCCCGATAACACCAAGATATATAGAGGACCGCTGAGCTTGGGCAAGTGTTGGTAGATCTTTATGTACACGCAGTCACCGACTTACGAACGCCCGACATACGAACATTCCACATATGAACATTCCACTTACGAACATTCGACTTACGAACATTCCACTTACGAACGCCCGTAGTTACGAACACCAGACTTACGAAACAGCTTCCATGAAGTATAAAACGTAATAACATTGACTTAAAACGTGAACTCGCGATTGCAAACTGGACCGCGGAACTATTTGTTCAGATGAGCGATCCTCTGCAAGGTGTGGTGAGTCGGCCTCGCGCTGGGAGTGAGTGTTTGTGTGTACGTGCCGGCAAAACAACCCCCTACCTCCTTGTGGTGCCGGACGGGCAACGCTGTCGTGGGCAGTGCTGTGGGGAGAGGGCCAATTCCGATTGGCCTTTCCCTCATGGCATTTGTAACCACCACAGTGGCTAAATGGGGGCTCTGGATGGGTGTGAGGGGCTGGTAACCCCTCCACCTTCAATTAATTACCACTAAACCACGACTACAACATTTTATAAATAAGCTTGTGCCGGAGGCCCCGGGGGGACAGGCGTCTATGACATCTCCTGGCCAAACCCCATTTGGCGGAGCCAGGAGACTGAATCCTTATCATCGGGGTTCCTCCAGAAACAACAAAAAACCACTACGTGTGACCACGTGGAATGTTCGAACGCTCACTGCGGAGGAGAGGCTGCCACTCCTCTGTCGGGAGCTGGACTGGTACCGCCTGGATCTCTGTGGTATTCAGGAGGTCCGGTGGACTGGCTCTGGCTCCTGCCACCATGAGGGGTGGACAGTCCTCTACTCGGGGCAGGAGACTGCCAAACAACAGGGTGTGGCTCTTCTACTGAATAAAATAATTAATGGGGCGAGGAGTGGTGGTCGTGGTTACTTATGCCCCCACTGAAGATGAACATCCGTGGATGGATGCAGACAAGGCCGATGAGTCAGATGTCTTCTATTACCTTCTGTCATAGGTGCTAGCTAAAGTGGCCCATCGGGATGGAGTCATCTTGTTTGGTGACTTCAATGCCCGAGTTGGTCATGATGCTGCCACCTGGTCTGGAGTAATTGGAAGGCATGGGCCAGATCAGCTCAATAACAACGGCAGGAGGCTGCTAGATTTTTGTGCAGCCCATGGGCTTGTAATTACCAACACGCTGTTCCGGCATCGGCGCATCCACACAACATCTTGGATGCATGCCGGGTCCAAGCAAGAACATCTGCTGGACTATTTAGTGATGGAACAGCGGATGCGGGCCCATGTCCTTGACACCAGGACCTACCCTGGAGTTGATCTGCCCACTGACCATCAACTTGTCATCTGTAATATGCGCCTGCCATTCTTCCACTCCGGTGGTGGGTGTACACCCAGGACCCCATTCAAACCCTTAGTGGCATGGTGTCAGCTAGCTGATGAAAGTTGCAAGCGAGAATTTCATCATCGCTTGCAGCTGGGGTTGGCATCGTCCCCCACTCCTCCTGATGTCGAGGGGAAATGGGCGAGGTTTAGGACTGCGGCTCATGCAGCAGTAATGGCTGCTTTGGGTACACGGTCCAGACCTCCCCAGAAACCCTGGCTGACAGAGGTGTTCAAGCTGGCTGAGAAAAAGCGACAGGCCCACTCTCATCGGCTACAGCATCCCACGTCAGAGAATGAGGAGGTTTACCGCAGCCTTCGCTCGGAGGTTCAGAGAGCCATAAGGCGCTGCAAGAATGGTTGGTGGTCACGGGTTGCTGAGGAGATGGAGTTTGCCTCAGTGGCCCGCGATCACAAATCGCTCTTTAACTCCATAAAAAAAGTAACCTTCAGCGCCACACCTATTACCATCATTAGAGGAAAAAACGGTGATCCAATCTCTGACCCCCAGGAACAGGTTTGCAGATTTTCTGAGCATTTCTGAGGTCCTGGGGGAGGGGAAATCCCTCAGCCAGGAAAACAACGTGGCACAAAGTGGGGATGACCCTGCTGAGGCTGCGGTGCCTCAAATATTGGAGGAGGAAGTCACCCCCTGTGAGTGGCTGGCTGAGGTGCCATCTGTTGAGGAAGTACTGAGGGCGATCCAGAGTCTGAGACCAGGAAAGGCACCGGGCAGAGATGATCTCCCAAGCGAAATGCTGAGGGTGGCGTTTGTGCACAGACTGCCCTACATGACATCATAGCAACAGTCTGGAACACTGGACGGGTTCCGTGTCTGTGTTTTGTCTCACTCTCAAATTTAGTTCTACCTGGTGATGGTTGCTTGTGTTGCAATCGAAACGTCGTATTCTATTATTTAATTTAATTTCTTTCTACGTGACTTCACCGAAAGAACCAAAGAGTATTTGTTTTACAGTGTTACATCCACATGTACAACATTTTTTGTCAGCTACGAGTGTAACAACGCTTCCTTCTTTGTTGAACCGTAGCACATTCCATCACACTCACCACATGGGCATTTAAATACAGTGCGTTGTTGTCATTCGACTCACGACCCGCTCGACTTTATGAATCATTCGACTCACGAACAATTCGACTTACAGGAACGGGTTTCAGGAACGACTTCGGTTTGTAAGCCGATGACCGTCCGTAACTCAGTCTCACTGTAAGTCACTCTGTGGGTCTCCACACCAAGACAACAAGTCCTAGACCACATCAACACCTATTAGCACGGCTGGCTACGTACGGTGCGAGAGAAGTTCAACATACACGGTGATTACGGGATGTTATCTCCCTCGCCTGGTATGCAGGAGGTCGTGGGCTCGATCTCAACCCTGACACCTGCTGCTGTTTATTTGGAGTTTGCGTGTCTCTCTCCCCGTGGTCGCGTGGATGTCTCCAAGTCTCTGGTTTTTTTTTATCCACATTTAGAATCGACGTCAACGCGTTCAGAGTTATTCGACGGCTGCGATGAATTTCCCCACGCGACGACGATGATGATGACTTCGTTTGAACTCTCAATTGTGATAGCCAGGGTCGCGTCTGAATAAAGAGCTACACTATACACTGTACACTACTATAACTACACTATACACTACTATAACTACACTATACACTATTATAACTACACTATACACTACACTATAATTGTAAATGTTGTAATGGGTTTGCTCTCCAACCATACAACTGGTTAGTACTGAACGAGTAACGAATTGGCCACGTTTTGTTTGTGACAACCCCCTTACTGATTGGATATGGCGGGTGGTGGTGGCGGGTTTAACGACACATTTATACTGGTAGGAACGAAGTGAACCAGCCAACAATAGATTATATCGTCCGTCCGTCCGATTAGGTGTAGCAACATCGCCCCCTACTGCAAACACTTGGCAGGACCCTACAAAAACCTTTAGACTCAGTGAGGCGTTCCTGGCTAAACAAGTGTAACATTTCCTTATAATTCCCTGAGATAGCTTTTAATTAAAACATTTTAATTCCCTGAGATAGCCTTTAATTAAAACATTTAAATAATTTTTTTAACTCACAGCGGCCTAAAGCCTAGAACTAGGCCTCAAACTCTCCCTTCGTATCGTACCCCCGCGTGTGCGAAAGGGAGTTCATGTTTAACAATGTTACATTCCCTGATGTTTTTAAATAGAAACATTTACATTTAAAGCTTTTACATTAATAATTAAAACATTTAAATTCTAAATTAACTCACAGCGGCCTAAAGCCTACAGCTAGGCCTAAAGCCTAGAACTAGGCCTCAAACGCTCCCTTCGTATCATCCGATTCGGTGTAGCAACATCGCCCCCTACTGCAAACACTTGGCAGGACCCTACACAAACCTTTACACTCAGTGAGGCTTTCCTGGCTAAACAAGTGTAATAATACATTATGTTTATATTCTTTGGTTATTCGTTCCTACCAGCCCACCCCGCAGGGACTTGTTATTTACGTGATCTCTAACACAAAAACCTCGACAGGGACTCCTCCACTTACATTCGAATTACGAACTTTTAGAGATACGAACAAACCTGTCCGTTATGTCCAGTTGCTTGTTCGGAACGAGAGTCGTAGCTTCAACTGCTGCACAATAGATGGCGGTGGCATCTACATCTGCAGAACGTTAAGAACCAGTGGCATCTACATCTGCAGAACGTGAAGAACCAGTGGCATCTACATCTGCAGAACGTGAAGAACCAGTGGCATCTACATCTACAGAACGTGAAGAACTAGTGGCATCTACATCTGCAGAACGTGAAGAACCAGTGGCATCTACATCTGCAGAACGTGAAGAACCAGTGGCATCTACATCTGCAGAACGTGAAGAACCAGTGGCATCTACATCTACAGAACGTGAAGAACTAGTGGCATCTACATCTGCAGAACGTGAAGAACCAGTGGCATCTACATCTGCAGAACGTGAAGAACCAGTGGCATCTACATCTGCAGAACGTGAAGAACCAGTGGCATCTACATCTGCAGAACGTGAAGAACTAGTGGCATCTACATCTACAGAACGTGAAGAACCAGTGTCATCTACATCTGCAGAACGTGAAGACCCAGTGTCATCTACATCTGCAGAACGTTAAGAACCAGTTGCATCTACATCTGCAGAACATGAAGAACCAGTGGCATCTGCATCTGCAGAACGTAAAGACCCAGTGGCATCTACATCTACAGAACGTGAAGACTCAGTGTCATCTACATCTGCAGAACATGAAGAACCAGTGTCATCTGCATCTGCAGAACGTCAAGACCCAGTGTCATCTACATCTGCAGAACGTGAAGACCCAGTGTCATCTACATCTGCAGAACATTAAGAACCAGTGTCATCTACATCTGCAGAACATGAAGACCCAGTGGCATCTACATCTGCAGAACGTGAAGAACCAGTGGCATCTACATCTGCAGAACATGAAGAACCAGTGTCATCTACATCTGCAGAACATGAAGAACCAGTGGCATCTACATCTCCACTTGTCCGCCATCGTTGTCAACGCGTGCCTGGAATCTTCTCCAGGTGGTCTAGAGCCAGCAGGCGGCAGGTTTTGCTCGTGGCGTTGTTGCAAATCCTCAACTTCTTTATGAAGCACTCTTGCATTTCACTTCGACGATTCATCGCCGCGACGAATCCCATTCACGGCGACGATGGCGACGGACGACCAACGCCGGAGGTGCAAATCCAGATTGAGACAATATCACGGGACATGTTTCGCGTGGATGTTGACCCTGCGGCGAACTTCTTTCGAAGCCACCGTACGTAGCCCGACAGCGTTAATGGGAGGTGTGGGGGGGGACAAAAAACTCAACACATCAACAACAAACACAACAAGCAGTTTGTGAATCTAGACGATGATTTAAAAGTGCAGTAAAGCTCCCCGTGTGGGCTTCCTGGTATTGGAATATAGAGATCCACAGAGACCCACAGAGACCCACAGAGACCCACAGAGACCCACAGAGACCCTCAGAGACCCACAGAGACCCACAGAGACCCACAGAGACCCACAGAGACTCACAGAGACTCACAGAGACTCACAGAGACCCACAGAGACCCAGAGAGACCCACGCTCACATGTACGTATGTTGAACTTCGTTGGCACCGTACGTAGCCCAACCGAGCTAATCGGAGGTGCGGTGTGGGGGAGGGAAGGACAACGCAACAACAAACACAACAACAACAAATACAACAACAACAAACACAACAACAAACACAACAACAAGCAGCAGCAGCAGCGAAAGCGACGACTCTTCAATCCCGCCGACTGAACTCCCTCGCCAAGTGCACGGCACTCGCCGTGACACGGAGAGTCGTAGCAGCACCTCCCCCCCATCCCCCCCCTCCCCCCTCCACCTCTGCGTGTCAACGGGCGGCCCGCGGAAGCGGACATCACAGAGCTACCTCCGAGATCTGGGCAGCTCTGTGGGTAGGTCTGTGGGCAGCTCTGTGGGTAAGTCTGTGGGTAGTTCTGTGGGCAGCTCTGTGGGCAGCAGGTGCCTCAGGCTGGGCAGCGTGACGCCGCTGTGCCGAGCGATCTCCCAGAACCGGCAGCGGTCCCCCTCCTCCCCCCTGACCCCCCGCCGCCCCCCTTCCCCGCCACCACCACCACCGCCATCGCCACAACTACCGCCGCCACCACCGCCGCCGCCACCACCACCACCACCGCCACCGCCGGTGGTCTCGGGGCGGCACGCCTGGACATGGACGAGCACCGGGCGAGCGCAGAGGAGCGGCGACTCCAGCGGCCAGCGCAGGCCCAGGTGGTGCCGGTGGACCTGCACGGAGACACGGAGACACGGGGACACTGAGACACTGAGACACGGGGACACGGAGACACTGAGACACTGAGACACTGAGACACTGAGACACTGAGACACGGAGACACGGAGACACGGGGACACGGGGACACTGAGACACTGAGACACTGAGACACGGAGACACGGAGACACGGGGACACGGGGACACTGAGACACGGGGACATGGAGACACGGGGACACGGGGACACTGAGACACTGAGACACGGGGACACGGAGACACGGGGACACGGAGACACTGAGACACGGGGACACGGAGACACGGAGACACTGAGACACGGAGACACGGAGACACTGAGACACGGAGACACGGAGACACGGAGACACTGAGACAGAGAGACACGGAGACACTGAGACACGGGGACACGGAGACACGGAGACACGGGGACACGGAGACACTGAGACACGGGGACACGGAGACACGGAGTTACGGAGACAACAACACAGCGACAGAGTGATGACACAGTGACGACACAGTGATACGGTGGCACAGAGACGACGCAGCGACGGAGCTTGCTTGACGTGATGGCAGCAGAGGCGGTTGCGGGCTCGGGTTTGGCGCGGTGTAGAAAAGATAAACCGGCCTCCTCCCATGTCTGTCCGACGTCCATGCGACGTCCATGGGACGTCCATGGCACGTCCATGGCAAGCAGGAGGTCGTGGGTTCGATCCCGACCCTGACGATGCCTGCTGCTGCTGCTGTATATTTGGAGTCTGCGTGTCTCTCTCTCTCATCACGGTGGCTAGGAGATGTTAACTACCTCGACTTGTACGGGGTATGTCGTGGGTTTGATCCCGACGCCTGCTATATATTTTGGAGTTTGCGTGTCTATCTCTCATCATCATCACGGTGGCTAGGAGATATGTTCACTACCTCGTCTGGTATACAGGAGGTCGTGGGTTCGATCCCGACCCTGACGATGCCTGCTGCTGCTGTATATTTGGAGTTTGCGTGTTTCTCTCTCTGTGGTCGCGTGGATTTTTCTCCGGGTCTTCCGCAATTTCCCCCAGACAATTCGCATCGACAATCACCGACGCGTTTAGAGTACGTGGCTGCTGCTACAGGTTTCCACACGATGTTGACGATGATCAGCGGCAACGTCATTTGAGATGTAATTCGCGATATCCAGGTCGCTTCTCACAGAGCCACGTAGCCCGGCGGGGCCTTACCTGCTAACTACATACAACTAGATTTCGATTTAAAGCTTTCGTGACTGCAGGGATTCATATTCTCGGTTCTTTTGGTAAAGTCACGATTTATTATTTCCCTTCTACGTGACTTTACCGAAAGAACCAAGAATATAACATAAAACTCGTCTGTAGCTTGTAGGTGAGGATGTGCCAGTGAACGTCCACTAACGCTCAGCCGCTCACCTTGAAGAGTCGGCCGTCTGGAGTGATCCACACGACGCCCTCCACCGCTCCGTCGGGGGCCGCTCCGTCTGGGGCCTCTACATTTGGGGCCTTTCCATTTGGGGCCTCTACATCTGGGGCCTTTCCATTTGGGGCCTCTACATCTGGGGCCTCTCCATTTGGGGCCTCTACATCTGGGGCCTTTCCATTTGGGGCCTCTACATCTGGGGCCTCTCCGTCGGGGGCCTTTCCATTTGGGGCCTTTCTATTTGGGGCCTCTACATCTGGGGCCTCTCCGTCGGGGGCCTTTCCATTTGGGGCCGCTATGTCCGTGGCCCCGCCGAGCCAGCGTGCGACGTCCGCCAGCGTCACGGCGGGTGGCCGCCTCAGCGGCAGGCCGCCGTGCGGCACCAGCAGGTGCAGGGGGTGCCGGGAGCTGCCCAGACCTGCGGGGGGGGGGGGGGGGGGGCGAAACGTCGGACGTCGTGATGACACGACGCTACGGCGGCGGGGTATCCTGCACAAAGACAAAGATCCCCCCTGGTGTAGCCTCAACGGACTGTTGGGGCAAGTGCCGTTAGCGAGTAGCCGCAGCTATGAAGGCTACCGGCACGGTGGCACACGAGGGGGTGGGCGGCCAGCACCACGCCCGGCCGCATTTGTCTCCCCAGTGGCGATGTTTACTACTACACACCGCACTAAGTACTAATTTGGGGTTCAGTCGACCTAGGGGAGGCCCAGGACCGGTTCATAAATTCGTCACCGGTGTTGTTGGCCGTGAGCGGGAATCAAACTTGGGTCGCCGGGTTCAAAGTGCAGCGTGGCGCTAACCGCTGCACCACCACTCCCCACACCACCATCACCACGACGATCACCACCACCATCACCATCACCACTATCACCATGACGATCATCACCACCACCACCATCACCACCACCACCACTATCACCACCACCATCACCACGACAATCACCACCATCACCTCCACCAACACCATCACCACCACCATCACCTCCACCATCACCTCCACCACCACCATCACCACCACCATCACCATCACCACCACCACCATCACCCCCACCACCACTATCACCACCACCATCACCACGACAATCACCACCATCACCTCCACCACCACCTCCACCACCACCTCCACCACCACCATCACCACCACCATCACCACCACCATCACCATCACCTCCACCATCACCTCCACCACCACCATAACCACCACCATCACCACCACCATCACCATCACCACCACCACCATCACCACCACCACCACCACCACTATCACCACCACCATCACCACGACAATCACCACCATCACCTCCACCACCACCATCACCACCACCATCACCACCACCATCACCACCACCACCATCACCACCACCACCATCACCACCACCATCACCACCACCATCACCACCACCACCATCATCACCACCACCATCACCACCACCATCACCACCACCATCACCACCACCACCACCATCACCACCACCACCATCACCACCACCACCATCACCACCACCACCATCACTACCACCACCACCTCCACCACCACCTCCACCACCACCATCACCACCACCACCATCACCACCACCATCACCACCACCACCATCATCACCACCACCATCACCACCACCATCACCACCACCATCACCACCACCATCACCACCACCACCATCACCACCATCACCATCACCACCACCACCATCACTACCACCACCACCTCCACCAACACCTCCACCAACACCATCACCACCACCATCACCACCATCACCACCACCACCATCACTACCACCACCACCTCCACCACCACCTCCACCAACACCATCACCACCACCATCACCATCACCACCACCACCACCATCACCTCCACCACCATCATCACCACCATCACCACCACCATCACCACCACCACCTCCATCACCACCATCACCACCACCACCACGATCACCACCACCTCCACCGGCAGAGTCTCTCTCACCGTAGGGGTTGCCGTTGACGTGCGTGCCGATGAGCTCCAGCGATTGGCCGGCGAGCTCGGAGAGGGGCAGCGCCGCGAGGACCAGCAGCTCCTCATTGGCCGACTGCTGCTGCTGCTGCTCCTCATTGGCCGACTGCTGCTGCTGATTGGCCGACTGCTGCTGCTGCTCCTGATTGGACGACTGCAGCTCCTGATTGGCCGACTGCTGCTGCTGCTCCTGATTGGACGTCTGCTGCTGCTGATTGGCCGACTGCTGCTGCTGCTCCTGATTGGACGACTGCTGCTGCTGATTGGCCGACTGCTGCTGCTGCTCCTGATTGGACGACTGCTGCTGCTGATTGGCCGACTGCTGCTGCTGCTCCTCATTGGCCGACTGCAGCTCCTGATTGGCCGGCTGCTGCTGCTGCTCCTCATTGGCCGACTGCAGCTCCTGATTGGCCGGCTGCTGCTGCTGCTCCTGATTGGACGACTGCTGCTGCTGCTGTTGCCGGCGAGGCGGCGCTCCGTGCAGCACGAGGGCGCGTTGGCACCGCTGGCAGAGCGCCGCGTTGTGCCAGCGGTGCTGGGAGCTCGCCACGTCCACCGGCACCCACCCTGAAGGACGGCACAGGGGTGGGGGGGGGGGGGGGTCACGTGCCACCACAGACGACCCCCGCACCAACGACCACTCAGCACAGGTGACCCCCCCCCACGACCTGATTGGTTCAGCACGACGCTGGCACGTGGAGCCGTCGCAAGCCGCTGGCTCGTTCCCCACGTGGCACCACGCTCTGCACGGGGGTCGCATTCCTGGACTCCCATTAGGTGCCGTGAGCACAAGCAACGTTGGCCACGAAAACAAATGAAAATAACCCGAACAAACGTCGACTGCAACCCAACAAAAACTTGTGCAAACATTTATCAGGAAAAGACAAACACATTTGAAAATTCTCAAGTGCTTCTCTGCACGTGCATCGCATTTCCTCTTGTCAGACGCAGTGGCGAACAAGTGAAGAGCGTCGTGAGAGAGACGCCGCTGCATTTGCTCTCAGCGCAGCTGCAGACTGACGGGGTACACACCGTGGGTCCGATCCCGACCCTGACGACGCCTGCTGCTGCTGCTGTATATTTGGAGTTTGCGTGTCTCTCATCATCATAATCACGGTGGCTAGATGTTGACTACCTCGCCTGGTATACAGGAGGTCGTGGGTCCGATCCCGACCCTGACGCCTGCTGCTGTATATTTGTAGTTTGCGTGTCTCTCTGTTTCATCATCACAGTGGCTAGGAGATGTTAACTACCTCGCCTGGTATACAGGAGGTCGTGGGTCCGATCCCGACCCTGACGCCTGCTGCTGCTGTATATTTGGAGTTTGCGTGTCTCTCTGTTTCATCATCACAGTGGCTAGGAGATGTTAACTACCTCACCTGGTCTACAGGAGGTCGTGGGTTCGATCCCGACCCTGACGCCTGCTGCTGCTGTATATTTGGAGTCTGCGTCTCTCTCTCTCTCATCATCATCACGGTGTCTCTCTCTCTCTCCGTGGTCGCGTGGATTTTTCTCCGGGCCCTCCGGTTTTCCTCCTCCGCGTTTGGAATCGACGTCACCACGTGTTCAGATTATTTGGTTTCTGCTCGAAATGTCCACGGGGCGACGATGACGACCCACTTCGTTGAGCGGCTTTCGTTTGCGTGGCCAGGTGGCGACTGACAAAGGAGCTACGTAGCTCAGCGGGGCCTTGCCTGCTCAGATGTAGAATCATAATAAGAATAGTCGTGTGTCGTTGTTAGCTCAGTGAATCGCTTCCCACGCAAACATCACGCGGGAGGAGCCAGCAGCCGCTACTGGCGCCAGGGGGTGGGGCGCGGGTGACCTCACCCAGCCCTCACCCTCACCCAGCCCTCACCCAGCCCACACCCAGCCCACACCCTCACCCAGCCCACCTCACCCAGCCCACACCCAGCCCTCACCCTCACCCAGCCCACACCCTCACCCAGCCCACACCCAGCCCACACCCAGCCCACCTCACCCAGCCCACACCCAGCCCTCACCCTCACCCAGCCCACACCCTCACCCAGCCCACACCCTCACCCAGCCCACACCCAGCCCACACCCTCACCCAGCCCACACCCTCACCCAGCCCTCACCCAGCCAACACCCTCACCCAGCCCTCACCCACACCCAGCCCTCACCCAGCCCACACCCAGCCCACACCCTCACCCAGCCCACACCCTCACCCAGCCCTCACCCAGCCCTCACCCAGCCCTACCCAGGAGGTGCCCGTTCCCGTCGGGTGTTGCTCTCCCCTGCGAGTCGGTGGCGCCCGGCGCCGGCACCCACGAGTCCGGCACCGCCCGCAGGTCTCGCTCCACACACCAGCGGAACGCTGCCAGCGGGGGGGGCAAGGAGGAAGCACGGGGGGAGCAATCAGGAAGCAATCAAAAAGCATGGGGGAAGCACGGGGGGAGCATGGGGGGAGCGTGAGGAAGCATGGGGGGGGAGGAAGCATGGGGGGGGAGCAATCAGGAAGCAATCAAAAAGCATGGGGGAAGCACGGGGGGAGCGTGGGGGGAGCGTGAGGAAGCATGGGGGGGGAGGAAGCATGGGGGGGAGCAATCAGGAAGCAATCAAAAAGCATGGGGGAAGCACGGGGGGAGCGTGGGGGGAGCGTGAGGAAGCATGGGGGGGGAGGAAGCATGGGGGGGAGCAATCAGGAAGCAATCAAAAAGCATGGGGGAAGCACGGGGGTGAGCCGTGAGGAAGCATGGGGGAAGCATTGAGGAAGCATGGGGGTGAGCAATCAGGAAGCGGTGGGGGAGCAATGAAGAAGCGTGGGGGAAGCACGGGGGGAGCCGTGAGGAAGCGTGGAAAGTGAGCAGGCAGTGTATGGAAGATCAGGCAGTGGGAAGCAAGGGGAGATAACATTACATAACGTGCTTTTTTATATATCGATATAAAAGCTTTTAAAAATAACCATTTATCTACACGTACTTCATTAGTTTATCTAGAAATATAAAAGGGAAATTTGTGAATATGTGTGTGTCTGTTCAAGACTGTACACCATGCACAAAGTATAAAAATAAAATTTAGTATTTTGGGGGGGGGGGGTGAGTCCGCTGACGTCACGCGGTGAGCCTGCTGACGTCACTCAGTGTCTGATGACGTCACTCAGTGAGTCTGGTGACGTCACTCAGTGTGCCTGGTGACGTCACGCGGTGAGTCTGGTGACGTCACTCAGTGAGTCTGGTGACGTCACGCGGTGAGTCTGGTGACGTCACGCGGTGAGTCTGGTGACGTCACTCGGTGAGTCTGGTGACGTCACGCGGTGAGTCTGGTGACGTCACGCGGTGAGTCTGGTGACGTCACGCGGTGAGTCTGGTGACGTCACGCGGTGAGTCTGGTGACGTCACGCGGTGAGTCTGGTGACGTCACGCGGTGAGTCTGGTGACGTCACGCGGTGAGTCTGGTGACGTCACGCGGTGAGTCTGGTGACGTCACTCGGTGAGTCTGGTGACGTCAAGCGGTGAGTCTGGTGACGTCACTCAGTGAGTCTGGTGATGTCACGCGGTGAGTCTGGTGACGTCACGCGGTGAGTCTGGTGACGTCACGCGGTGAGTCTGGTGACGTCACGCGGTGAGTCTGGTGACGTCACTCGGTGAGTCTGGTGACGTCACGCGGTGAGTCTGGTGACGTCACGCGGTGAGTCTGGTGACGTCACGCGGTGAGTCTGGTGACGTCACGCCGGTGAGTCTGGTGACGTCACGCGGTGAGTCTGGTGACGTCACGCGGTGAGTCTGGTGACGTCACTCGGTGAGTCTGGTGACGTCACGCGGTGAGTCTGGTGACGTCACGCGGTGAGTCTGGTGACGTCACGCGGTGAGTCTGGTGACGTCACTCGGTGAGTCTGGTGACGTCACGCGGTGAGTCTGGTGACGTCACGCGGTGAGCCTGGTGACGTCACGCGGTGAGCCTGGTGACGTCACGCGGTGAGCCTGGTGACGTCACGCGGTGAGCCTGGTGACGTCACGCGGTGAGCCTGGTGACGTCACTCGGTGAGTCTGGTGACGTCACGCGGTGAGTCTGGTGACGTCACGCGGTGAGTCTGGTGACGTCACGCGGTGAGTCTGGTGACGTCACGCGGTGAGTCTGGTGACGTCACGCGGTGAGTCTGGTGACGTCACGCGGTGAGTCTGGTGACGTCACGCGGTGAGCCTGCTGACGTCACTCAGTGTCTGATGACGTCACTCAGTGTGCCTGGTGACGTCACGCGATGCGCCTGGTGACGTCACGCACCCCCCCCCCCACCCTCCGCGTAGGCCGTGTGTCAATGCAAGGCAAGACTCCAAGTCCCGGGCGAGGCCGCTGTAGTGTGGAGCGAGTCTGACGCGAGTGAATGTGACTGTGAGTCTGAGTCTGTGAGTCTGTGAGTCTGAGACTGTGAGTCTGAGACTGAGTCTGAGTCTGTGACTGCGAGTCTGAGACTGTGAGTCTGTGAGTCTGAGTCTGTGAGTCTGAGTCTGTGAGTCTGAGACTGAGTGAGTCTGAGACTGTGAGTCTGAGCCTGAGACTGTGAGTCTGGGACTAAGACTGTGAGTCTGAGTCTGGGACTAAGACTGTGAGTCTGAGTCTGAGACTGTGAGTCTGGGACTAAGACTGTGAATCTGAGTCTGGGACTAAGACTGTGAGTCTGAGTCTGAGACTGTGAGTCTGAGTCTGAGACTGTGAGTCTGAGTCTCCGAGTCTGAGACTGTGAGATGTGAGTTTGTGAGTCTGTGAGTCTGAGATTGTGAGTCTGAGACTGTGAGTCTGTGAGTTTGTGAGTCTGTGAGTCTGAGACTGTGAGTCTGTGAGTCTGTGAGACTATGAGTCTGAGACTGTGAGACTGTGAGTTTGTGAGTCTGTGAGTCTGAGACTGTGAGTCTGAGACTGTGAGTCTGTGAGTTTGTGAGACTATGAGTCTGAGACTGTGAGTCTGTGAGTTTGTGAGTCTGTGAGTCTGAGACTGTGAGTCTGTGAGTCTGTGAGACTATGAGTCTGAGACTGTGAGTCTGTGAGTTTGTGAGTCTGTGAGTCTGAGACTGTGAGTCTGTGAGTTTGTGAGACTATGAGTCTGAGACTGTGAGACTGTGAGTTTGTGAGTCTGTGAGTCTGAGACTGTGAGTCTGTGAGTCTGTGAGACTATGAGTCTGAGACTGTGAGTCTGTGAGTTTGTGAGTCTGTCAGTCTGAGACTGTGAGTCTGTGAGTTTGTGAGTCTGTCAGTCTGAGACTGTGAGACTGAGACTGTGAGTCTGTGAGTTTGTGAGTCTGTGAGTCTGAGACTGTGAGTCTGAGATTGTGAGACTGTGAGTTTGTGAGTCTGTCAGTCTGAGACTGTGAGACTGTGAGTTTGTGAGTCTGTGAGTCTGAGACTGTGAGTCTGAGACTGAGTCTGAGACTGTGAGTCTGTGAGTCTGTGAGACTGAGTCTGTGAGTCTGAGACTGTGAGACTGTGAGTATGTGAGTCTGTGAGTCTGAGACTGTGAGTCTGTGAGTTTGTGAGTCTGTGAGTCTGAGACTGTGAGTCTGAGACTGTGAGTCTGTGAGTCTGTGAGTCTGAGACTGTGAGTCTGAGACTGAGTCTGAGACTGTGAGACTGTGAGTATGTGAGTCTGTGAGTCTGAGACTGTGAGACTGTGAGTTTGTGAGTCTGTGAGTCTGAGACTGTGAGTCTGAGACTGAGTCTGAGACTGTGAGTCTGTGAGACTGAGTCTGTGAGTCTGAGACTGTGAGACTGTGAGTATGTGAGTCTGTGAGTCTGAGACTGTGAGTCTGTGAGTTTGTGAGTCTGTGAGTCTGAGACTGTGAGACTGAGACTGTGAGTCTGTGAGTTTGTGAGTCTGTGAGTCTGAGACTGTGAGTCTGAGACTGTGAGTCTGTGAGTTTGTGAGTCTGTGAGTCTGAGACTGTGAGTCTGTGAGTCTGTGAGACTATGAGTCTGAGACTGTGAGACTGTGAGTTTGTGAGTCTGTGAGTCTGAGACTGTGAGTCTGAGACTGTGAGACTGTGAGTCTGTGAGACTGTGAGTCTGAGACTGTGAGTCTGAGACTGAGTCTGAGTCTGTGAGACTGAGTCTGAGACTGTGAGTCTGTGAGTCTGAGACTGTGAGTCTGTGAGACTGAGGCTGAGACTGTGAGACTGAGTCTGGGACTGAGTCTGTGAGTCTGAGTCTGTGACTGTGAGACTGAGACTGAGTCTGAGTCTGTGAGTCTGAGACTGTGAGTCTGAGACTGTGAGTCTGAGTCTGGGACTGAGTCTGAGTCTGTGAGTCTGTGACTGTGAGTCTGAGATTGTGAGACTGTGAGTTTGTGAGTCTGTGAGTCTGAGACTGTGAGACTGTGAGTTTGTGAGTCTGTGAGACTGAGTCTGTGAGTCTGAGACTGTGAGACTGTGAGTATGTGAGTCTGTGAGTCTGTGACTGTGAGTCTGTGACTGTGAGTCTGAGATTGTGAGACTGTGAGTTTGTGAGTCTGTGAGACTGAGTCTGTGAGTCTGAGACTGTGAGACTGTGAGTATGTGAGTCTGTGAGCCTGAGACTGTGAGTCTGTGAGTTTGTGAGTCTGTGAGTCTGAGACTGTGAGACTGTGAGTCTGTGAGTTTGCGAGTCTGTGAGTCTGTGACTGTGAGTCTGAGACTGTGAGTTTGTGAGTCTGTGAGTCTGTGACTGTGAGTCTGAGACTGTGAGTCTGTGAGTCTGTGAGTCTGTGACTGTGAGTCTGAGACTGTGAGTTTGTGAGTCTGTGAGTCTGTGACTGTGAGTCTGAGACTGTGAGTCTGTGAGTCTGTGAGTCTGAGACTGTGAGACTGTGAGTTTGTGAGTCTGTGAGTCTGTGAGTCTGAGACTGTGAGACTGTGAGTTTGTGAGTCTGTGAGTCTGTGAGTCTGAGACTGTGAGACTGTGAGTCTGTGAGTCTGTGAGTCTGAGACTGTGAGACTGTGAGTTTGTGAGTCTGTGAGTCTGTGAGTCTGAGACTGTGAGACTGTGAGTCTGTGAGTTTGCGAGTCTGTGAGTCTGAGACTGTGAGTCTGTGAGTCTGTGAGACTATGAGTCTGAGTCTGTGAGTCTGAGACTGTGAGTCTGTGAGTCTGTGAGTCTGTGAGTCTGTGACTGTGAGTCTGAGACTGTGAGTTTGCGAGTCTGTGAGTCTGTGACTGTGAGTCTGAGACTGTGAGTCTGTGAGTCTGAGTCTGTGAGTCTGAGTCTGTGAGTCTGAGACTGAGTGAGTCTGAGACTGTGAGTCTGAGCCTGAGACTGTGAGTCTGGGACTAAGACTGTGAGTCTGAGTCTGGGACTAAGACTGTGAGTCTGAGTCTGAGACTGTGAGTCTGGGACTAAGACTGTGAATCTGAGTCTGGGACTAAGACTGTGAGTCTGAGTCTGAGACTGTGAGTCTGAGTCTGAGACTGTGAGTCTGAGTCTCCGAGTCTGAGACTGTGAGATGTGAGTTTGTGAGTCTGTGAGTCTGAGACTGTGAGTCTGAGACTGTGAGTCTGTGAGTTTGTGAGTCTGTGAGTCTGAGACTGTGAGTCTGTGAGTCTGTGAGACTATGAGTCTGAGACTGTGAGACTGTGAGTTTGTGAGTCTGTGAGTCTGAGACTGTGAGTCTGAGACTGTGAGTCTGTGAGTTTGTGAGACTATGAGTCTGAGACTGTGAGACTGTGAGTTTGTGAGTCTGTGAGTCTGAGACTGTGAGTCTGAGACTGTGAGTCTGTGAGTTTGTGAGTCTGTGAGTCTGAGACTGTGAGACTGTGAGTTTGTGAGTCTGAGACTGTGAGTCTGTGAGTTTGTGAGTCTGTCAGTCTGAGACTGTGAGTCTGTGAGTTTGTGAGTCTGTCAGTCTGAGACTGTGAGACTGTGAGTTTGTGAGTTTGTGAGTCTGTGAGTCTGAGACTGTGAGTCTGAGACTGTGAGACTGTGAGTCTGTGAGTCTGTGAGTCTGAGACTGTGAGTCTGTGAGTCTGTGAGACTATGAGTCTGAGACTGTGAGACTGTGAGTTTGTGAGTCTGTGAGTCTGAGACTGTGAGTCTGAGACTGTGAGTCTGTGAGTTTGTGAGACTATGAGTCTGAGACTGTGAGACTGTGAGTTTGTGAGTCTGTGAGTCTGAGACTGTGAGTCTGTGAGTCTGTGAGACTATGAGTCTGAGACTGTGAGACTGTGAGTTTGTGAGTCTGTGAGTCTGAGACTGTGAGTCTGAGACTGTGAGTCTGTGAGTTTGTGAGACTATGAGTCTGAGACTGTGAGACTGTGAGTTTGTGAGTCTGTGAGTCTGAGACTGTGAGTCTGAGACTGTGAGACTGTGAGTTTGTGAGTCTGAGACTGTGAGTCTGTGAGTTTGTGAGTCTGTCAGTCTGAGACTGTGAGACTGTGAGTTTGTGAGTTTGTGAGTCTGTGAGTCTGAGACTGTGAGTCTGAGACTGTGAGACTGTGAGTCTGTGAGTCTGTGAGTCTGAGACTGTGAGTCTGTGAGTTTGTGAGTCTGTGAGTCTGAGACTGTGAGTCTGAGATTGTGAGACTGTGAGTTTGTGAGTCTGTGAGTCTGAGACTGTGAGTCTGAGACTGAGTCTGAGACTGTGAGTCTGTGAGTCTGTGAGACTGAGTCTGTGAGTCTGAGACTGTGAGTATGTGAGTCTGTGAGTCTGAGACTGTGAGTCTGTGAGTTTGTGAGTCTGTGAGTCTGAGACTGTGAGACTGAGACTGTGAGTCTGTGAGTTTGTGAGTCTGTGAGTCTGAGACTGTGAGTCTGAGACTGTGAGTCTGTGAGTTTGTGAGTCTGTGAGTCTGAGACTGTGAGTCTGTGAGTCTGTGAGACTATGAGTCTGAGACTGTGAGACTGTGAGTTTGTGAGTCTGTGAGTCTGAGACTGTGAGTCTGAGACTGTGAGACTGTGAGTCTGTGAGACTGTGAGTCTGAGACTGTGAGTCTGAGACTGAGTCTGAGTCTGTGAGACTGAGTCTGAGACTGTGAGTCTGTGAGTCTGAGACTGTGAGTCTGTGAGACTGAGGCTGAGACTGTGAGTCTGTGAGTCTGAGACTGTGAGTCTGTGAGACTGAGTCTGGGACTGAGTCTGTGAGTCTGAGTCTGTGACTGTGAGACTGAGACTGAGTCTGAGTCTGTGAGTCTGTGAGTCTGAGACTGTGAGTCTGATGAGACTGTGAGTCTGAGTCTGGGACTGAGTCTGAGTCTGTGAGTCTGTGACTGTGAGTTTGTGAGTCTGTGAGTCTGTGACTGTGAGTCTGAGACTGTGAGTCTGAGTCTGTGAGTCTGTGACTGTGAGTCTGAGACTGTGAGTCTGAGATTGTGAGACTGTGAGTTTGTGAGTCTGTGAGTCTGAGACTGTGAGTCTGTGAGTTTGTGAGTCTGTGAGTCTGAGACTGTGAGACTGTGAGTTTGTGAGTCTGTGAGACTGAGTCTGTGAGTCTGAGACTGTGAGACTGTGAGTATGTGAGTCTGTGAGTCTGAGACTGTGAGTCTGTGAGTTTGTGAGTCTGTGAGTCTGAGACTGTGAGACTGTGAGTTTGTGAGTCTGTGAGTCTGTGAGTCTGAGACTGTGAGACTGTGAGTCTGTGAGTTTGCGAGTCTGTGAGTCTGTGACTGTGAGTCTGAGACTGTGAGTTTGTGAGTCTGTGAGTCTGTGACTGTGAGTCTGAGACTGTGAGTCTGTGAGTCTGTGAGTCTGTGACTGTGAGTCTGAGACTGTGAGTTTGCGAGTCTGTGAGTCTGTGACTGTGAGTCTGAGACTGTGAGTCTGTGAGTCTGTGAGTCTGTGACTGTGAGTCTGAGACTGTGAGTTTGCGAGTCTGTGAGTCTGTGACTGTGAGTCTGAGACTGTGAGTCTGTGAGTCTGTGAGTCTGTGACTGTGAGTCTGAGACTGTGAGTTTGCGAGTCTGTGAGTCTGTGACTGTGAGTCTGAGACTGTGAGTTTGTGAGTCTGTGAGTCTGAGTCTGGGACTGAGTCTGAGTCTGTGAGTGTGAGTCTGTGAGTCTGAGACTGTGAGTCTGAGTCTGGGACTGAGTCTGAGTCTGGGACTGAGTCTGAGTCTGAGACTGTGAGTCTGAGACTGTGAGTCTGAGTCTGACCCGCCTCCTTCTTGGCCGCTCGGTGGGCAGCGAAGCGCCGGGCGGCTCCTCGGTTGGGCTTCCTGTCCAGCCGGGCCCACAGGCACGCCAGCCCTGCCACACACACACAGACACACACACAGACACACACACACAGACACACACACACACACAGACACACACAGACACACACAGTGGTGAGCCCACAGGCACGCCAGCCCTGCCACACAGACACAGACACACAGACACACAGACACACACACAGACACACAGACACACACACAGATACACACAGACACACAGACACACACACAGACACACAGACACACACACAGACACACACACAGACACACACAGACACACACAGACACACACACACAGACACACACACACACAGTGGTGAGCCCACAGGCACGCCAGCCCTGCCACACACACACACACACAGACACACACACACAGACAAAGGTCCCCCGTGTAGCCTCGGCACACTGCGGG